GTCTCTTGTTGGCTCATTGTTCCCATGTCCTGCGTGCATTTGTTATTAAAACCTTTTATGTTACCCAGTTTGTCTACCTGCCTGATTCCTCCCCAGCGTGTGGATCCTCACCTCCGTTCCACTCACCGGCACGTCGTGACAGAATGAGCCAACCCACAGAAGGATCCAGCGGGTAGGTTATCCCTTGGGAGAACCTGCTCCAGTTTCTCGCCGTGGACCACCGGCCGGATCCTCTTCCTCCGGCATCGCCTTGTCGCGGATGCTGCCACCGAGCCCGGGCCTCAGCGATCCTCTCCACCCTCCCGGAGCTGGATGGAGACTTGGACGGGGAGGCGCAGATGGACCGCTCCTGCCATGTGGGCACCAGGCTGGCTGTGTGCTCCCCCGGAGTTGGCCCACGGCGTCGGGAAGGATGCCGGGCTCCATCGTCATCCCTTGTCCCAGGACGGAGCCGCGAGCTCGCAGCTGCCCCGGCTCGGCGCGCCAGCTTGGACCCGCCCCCAGTCAGACCAGCAGTCCTGTCTCCGGTCCAATCAGCGCCTCCGTCATCTGCAGGCGGAGGAACCACGCCTACAGCCCAGCTGACAGAGCTCGCCAGTCTCCAGGCGGAGCTTGGCCGGATCCGTCGGCTTGTCAGCCTCCGGGAGTTCCAGCTGGACACCCTATCCTCCCCGTATCTCCAGGAGAAGGTTTCTGTCCAGCCGGCAGTCCCGCCTCCAGTCCAGTCAGCAGCTCTCTCGTCTCCAGGCCGTAGGGCCGGGCTCGCAGCCCGTCCGGCAGAGCTCGCCGGTCTCCGAGCTGAGCTGGTCCGACTCCGTCAGATCCTCAGTCTCCAGGAGTTCCAGCTGGACAATCTGTCCTCCCTGCTTCTCCAGTTACCGGTTCCACCAGGTCCCGCGCCACCAATCCAGTCAGCGCCAGGTCCCGCGCCACCAGTCCAGTCAGCGCCAGTTCCAGCGGTGGTCCAGGATGCTCCGCCCCCGGGCCAGCCTGTCCAAGAGGCTCAGCCCCCAGGCCAGCCTGTCCAGTGGTCAGCGCCCAGTCCGGTGGTACCAGCCAAGGAAGCTGCCACGACTGCAGCGGCTTCGCCTCCACTCCAGAAGTCGGCGGCCCCTCCTGCAGTGGTTCCGCCTCCACTCCAGGGGTCGGCGCCGCCGGTCCAGAGGTGGACGCTTCCGGTCTAGAAGTCGACGCCTCCGGTTCAGGAGTCGACGGTTCCGGTCCAGAAGTCGATGGTTCCGGTCCAGAAGTCGACGGTCCAAGTCCAAAAGTCGACGGTCCAGGTCCATAAGTCGGTGGTCCAAAAGTCTGCGGTCCAGAAGCCGGCGCCTCCGGACCAGAAGGCGACAGAGGTCGACGCTCCTTCCCGTCCGGAGGTCGACGCTCCTTCCAGTCCGGAGGTCGACGCCCCTTCCAGTCCGGAGGTCGACGCCCTTTCCAGTCCGGAGGTCGACGCCCCTTCCAGTCCGGAGGTCGACGCCCTTTCCAGTCCGGAGGTCGACGCCCCTTCCAGTCCGGAGGTCGACGCCCCTTCCAGTCCGGAGGTCGACGTTCCCCCCTCCAGTCCAGAGGCCGACGTCTCCCCCTCCAGTCCAGAGGCCGACGTCTCCCCCTCCAGTCCAGAGGCCGACGTCTCCCCCTCCAGTCCAGAGGCCGACGTCTCCCCCTCCAGTCCAGAGGCCGACGTCTCCCCCTCCAGTCCAGAGGCCGACGTCTCCCCCTCCAGTCCAGTGGTCGACGCCTCCTCTCCATCAGCCCCTCGGTCCCTCTTGGCCCTCCCTCCGGGTCCCCCTCCTCCCACCCTGCTCTGTGTTCCTATGGGCATCTGGAATCCGCCCTTTGGGGGGGGGGGGGGGTACTGTCACACCCTGTCCTGTCTCCCTATTTGGTTCAGCCTGCGTCTCTGTTAATTGCTCCCACCTGCCTCTCGTTTTCCAATCACCAAGCTCCCAGCCCTCTTGTATTTAAACCCCTCCAGTTTTGTGTCTCTTGTTGGCTCATTGTTCCCATGTCCTGCATGCGTTTGTTATTGAAACCTTTTACGTTACCCAGTTTGTCTACCTGCCTGATTCCTCCCCAGCGTGTGGATCCTCACCTCCATTCCACTCACCGGCACGTCGTGACAGTTTCCAGGAAAAAAAAAAGGCAAGGAATACTGAAGACGTGTTTTCTCAGTGATGATTTTTAGCTTTAAAGTAAGTGAAGTTTTTTTTAATTGTGTGTTGGTGATTGACACCCGCTTAGGCAAGATGTTAGCTTTACTAGCACGTTAGCATGAGGAAGCTAATTTTTAGTTACAGCTGTTTTATTTTCTTTGTAGGGAAACAGTGTATTCAACATTTGACGTGCTGCTGCTGAATAAACAAACTGCATTTGCCAATTTAAAACAACACGTAGAGAGCACTAGGATGTGGATAAAACACATAGTGCTTTTATAAGACCCACCATGCCGGCAAATCGGCGTAATATTACCGCAATGGTATGTCTATAAATGCACCATGCCGGTGTCGGTACAGGATCTGCTCGGGTGCAAGATCGGCTCGGGGTCCTTCGACGGTTATTGTGACCAAAATTATCACGGTTTTCGGTATTATCGCGGTATTTTTTTAAACATGTTAAATTTTCAGGAAACTAAATAAACCCTGTATATCAGGGAAATATTGTCCTCAGGTTGTGTCTAAATTTTGCCTACAATTTGTTATTTTGTAATTATGTTGTTTATTTGTTTACATATTTCCCCTTTAGTCTTTAAAATACCAATATTTGCCCATAACTTCTTATTTTTTGTCTGTTTGATGTCATCATTTTAAAAATATTAGATCAGATGACACTCAGTACTCAAGTAGTCTTCTAATCAGATACTTTTTTTTACCCTTACTTGAGTAATAAACCCTATATCAGGAAAATATTGTCCTTGATTTGTGTTCTTCCAGTGAGCTTTGCAGATTTGGGAAAATCCCTCGGCATTCTTCAAATATCAAAAAGATGCCCGTACTTCCCACTTTGTCTTCTTTGAGGGATAATAAATGTCCTGAGTGCTGCTGTCTCCTCCTTTGGCCATTATTTCAGCTTTAGCTTCAAGAAAGTTTTGGTTGTAAACATCAAAGCGCGCGTGTGCCGCTGGCGACTCCATCAGATGATACAGTGGCTGGTAAGGGTCACCGCGCCTACACCGCAGCCACGATAATCCACCGAGATAATATAGTTTTTTAAACAACAAGACGGTTATTATTATTGTCAACTTTTTTACCGGGGTTTACCGCTACACCGGTTACCGTGACAACCCTAATCTCAGATGTAGAGTTTAGTGTGAGTGCATGCATCATAACCCAGCCATTGTCTTTAAAGAGCAAGTCACCCCCAAATAAACTATTTTTTCTGATAAACTATATAAATGCGTGTCTAATCGTGCTGCAGACACGTGTAGTCAATAGTTTTGCACTTTAGTGCATTTTGGTTAAAATTTACGTTTCTGCCTAAAACTGTCAGTGTTGTGCCGTTGTCAGGTAAAAATTCTTCGCTGCAGTTGAATTTAAATCTGCCATCACTATTGGCTAAGAGGTACCCTAGAACGTTAGCTGGTACCATATGATGTCACAATGTCGTTGTGAGCCTGTGTGTGTGTGTGTATTTGTTAGCGGCTCCGCCCTCTCGGTCTGCTAGACAACAGCATAGACCCTTTTACTACTTACGTCATCAAAAGTTGCGTGCGCAGCCTGGCAACGAGAGTGAAGGCTTCCTCATTCACACTCGATAGTAAAACAGCGTTTTAAACCCTTTGTTTTGAAGTTCTGAGCACATAAAAATGTCGGGTTGTTGCGTGTATGGATGCCACAATCGCTTCTCTTCAAGCAGTGGACTGAAACTTTACAGAATTCCGAAGTTCTACATTTTTCCTGCTCAGGTCTTTCCATCTACATGCCTGAGATGTAACTGCAGCCTTTTCTGTTTTTCCCATCCTAACACAAAACTCAACTTTGAATAAAATTGCTGCTGCGTGGCTGCAGCATGACCCAAGTCTGGAACATCAAAATGACAGAATTAAACAAATTTATATGCTTTATTTCATGCTTCAAATTAACATTTCATTCTAATTCATCTGTATTTTCCCACTGCATATTGGTATAAACTGTACTTCTCTAAAATTAACACGATTGTACTCTGAGCACGCTAAAAAACGAAACCTATGCTATACTCACCCTGCCATGCAGGTACAGTTGGCTGTGAAGACGTAGTTCTCTGGTTTGTTTACTATGACCCAAGCCTCGTACATAGCAGTCTTGTGTCCTTGTCTTTGGCTAGGAAGGACTTCTGCCTTCAAGATGCAACACTCAGAGTCTATGTCGTGATATTTTACTTTCTGTACGTGGCCACAGACAACATAGTTGTTTGCATCTAAGGATTTGTATGCCCGTAGCTTCTCACGTGTGTTCTTACTGGGCCTCTCCACTGAAAACGTATATATATCGGGCCACTGGATATCTGGCCACGCACCTACATCTTCCACCCATTCCGTAATGCCACAGGGATCCGGGAGTCTGTTGCCATTCGTTAAAGTGAGTTTAATAATATAACATTCAAGATTTGCCGGTGATAACCCCGCAGCGTAGCTTGATAAAGCCTGACACAACGCCATTCTCTGTTGCCAAGCTGCGCGCGCATTCTCGCTGACGTCATATTGTTTACAAACAGTAAAAGGGTCTATTTGTTGCATTTTTCAAACAGGAAGTGGGAGTGGAGTAAGAATCTGGTAGGGGTGACTTGCTCTTTAACAATACATGAAAACATTTGGGCTAGTCTTTGTCTTTTGTTTGGAACAAAAGAATTTAGATGTGGGATGCTGTCAGAATGCCTGATGAGATAAAGATTTTTAACTGGAAACAGAAAAACAGACGAATATTACAGGTTTTGTCTTTTATTAAATGCGTAAAACCTTCAAATTTTTCTTGTTATTGTTTTATTCATGTTGTAGATGTTCAGATCTCTCCATACTACCTTAAAAACAACGTCTGCTGCAGCTTGTGTTGACGCGTCTTGAGAAAAGGCGAGGATTAACGAGAGGAAGTGAGTGTTTGGTGATAAAAGTCAGCAGACGGGTCTCGTAAAGGAAGGAGATGAAACGAAACCATGTCGCAGCGCAGCTCATCACCGAGGACATGACTTCATAAGACAAAACCCAGAAAAGAAACAACAACATGACTAAACTAAACAGATCAGGTACCGTTACGGCAGTTGATCATTAATACGCTGTTTAAAGGCTTCAGTGTTTCAGGAGTGTCTGGTTTAGTCTGGCAGGAAACATTTGGGCATCCTGTGTGTGTGTGTGTGTGTGTGTGTGTGTGTGTGTGTGTGTGTGTGTGTGTGTGTGTGTGTGTGTGTGTGTGTGTGTGTGTGTGTGTGTGTGTGTGTGTGTGTGTGTGTGTGTGTGTGTGTGTGTGTGTGTGTGTGTGTGTGTGTGTGTGAGAGAGACAGTAATTCAGAGTGTGAGCAGATAATCTGAAAAGTTTTAAGCACAGAACCTGATTTCCTGTGAAAACGTCTAACGGCGTAGTTCATCAGTGCGTTTGTGCTCGCTGGATTCTCACCTCCTATCTGTGAGGTCGGCGTGGGCTCGGCGGCTGAAGTTTCGTCTGAGGTGTTTCCATGGCGGCTGCTAGTGAGGGCCACTCTGGTGCTCTCCGTCACCATGGAGCCATTTTGTGGGTTGCCATGTGTGACGGTGAAGCAGAGGAATCCTTTTGTTCTGCAGAAGTCTGGGACTAACTCCAGTACACGCTTAGATCTGAGTGCATGTAGAGGAGGGCTTAGGGGCACTTTTCTGGGCGTCTAAACAATCCATCAGTGCCTTAAAAAGTACTGCTCCTCCACACAGAACCGGTACGTTCTTATGAAGACTGGATTCTAAACACAGAGTCCCATCAGATATGGCTTTGTTTCTGTTTACATTACAAACAGCTGATGTTCCTAATATTCAGCATCAACACATTAGTGGGAACATCATTTAATAAATACTTCACAGGTTTGGCTTAAGTGTATTTTGTGGTGAGGAGACTGGAGCAGGAAGTGTTGGGAAAGATGGAGGGGAGTGTTGAGTAACAACGGTTTCTCCTAAGTAAGAGTCGGTGTGGTTGTGACGTTCCTCCAGACCCACAGACATGCGGCTTTCATCCATTCTGTAGGAGAAATCTTTGTTTTTAGCTCCTTGGACTGGATTCCCGTTATTCCCAGAGGGAAGGACGGGATCATTTCCAAGTCAGCTCATAACTTTGTTTGTAGCTTCGTTTTTGGTCGTTTGGTTTCTTTTCACACAGAGGAAGCCTCCAGCTAGTAAGATGGTGTTGTCAGGGGGCGGGGCTAGAACCAGGAAGAAGGTTCGGATTCTGAGCTCGTTGACAACCCAGAGCCGTTTATGAACTCTTCGGTGTCATCTGCTATCAGTGAAGTTTCAGACTTGTTGATCGTCCATGTGTGCCGTGGCAGCCAGGAGCTACCAATGTTTGTTTGTTTGTTCTGCAGCATCTCAGAATGCAACGCTGCCTGTGACTGGAGAGTGTTTGGCTCAAACCTGCAACGTACACGCTGCTGTTGTGACAAATTGAGGTCGTATCGTGTTCACGCTATAAACAAACCGAGAGCGCCTCCCCAACAGGCCTCAGTACGGTTGTTTTGCTGGAGCGACTGCCACATTCAAACTCGCCAAAGAGACCAGGGTTGGATTTAAATGGATTCAACTCTACAGACGTTCAAATGTTCACAGAGAGACGCTGCAGCCTGAAAAGACCAGAGAAAAGTAACCTGCATGGTTGACCAAAGGTGTCCCTGAATTCAATTCTTGAGGACGCTTAGGTCCTTCAATGTCTGTAGCAAGATGCTGCAGATCTTCTACAAGTCTGTTGTTGAGAGTGTAATCTCTTCAGCCATTGTCTGTTGGGGTAGCAGCGTCAGAAGCAGGGACCTGAAAAGGCTCAACAGCCTTATAAAGGCTGGTTCTGTTCTGAGGACGACTGTGGAACCGCTGGAGGAGATAATGCAAAGAAGGATTCTCCAGAGAATCAAGAAAATGATGGACAACCCTGAGCATTCTCTTCACAAGACTGTCCGACAACGGAAGAGTGTCTTCAGTCAGAGGCTACTTCAGTTTCGCTGCAACACTGACCGCTACTGGAGATCCTTCCTGCCAACAGCCATTGTAATATACAATAACTCTTTGATGACTTGATTATTATTATTATTATTCTGAGCTACTACAGCAATCAATTTCCCTCTGGGATTAATAAAGTATTTTTGAATTGAATTGAATTCAAAGCCATATTTACCTTCTTCTTGTGGATTAAAGGCAGCTCGGGGTGTCTGATGTACCACAAAGTCTGAACCGTCCCTGACCTGCTTTGCAACGGCCTCGGAGAAACGGTTGGCTCTGAGAAAAGCCGGTTTAGCACGTCATCAGCTTAGAAACACACGGTAATGCTAACCACAACGCTGACCCAAGCTAGCATTAACATTAGCATGAACTACTGCTAACGCTAGCCTGAGCAGCTAGCATGTCCTTGTTGGATAAGAGGAAAACAATGAAGAAAAATGATGGACTCACATTCCAGGATGTGCTGGAGCTGGCAGTCTGGTCCAACAGAGGACCCCCCCCCCCCCCCCCTCCAGTTCTAATAAAAAAAAACATCTTCATCAAATTCATCACACGATGGTGAATCTAAAGTATTGTCCTACTTTTTCTTTCTGCTGCAGGAGAATCCAGGAAATTCGACCCAAACTTTAAAGGGCCAATTCATAACAGGTAAAAGTTTCTGTTTAAATGTCATTTTTATTCATTGGCTTTTATTTTGAAGCCAGCATTTGCCTATTTTGCCTCTCCCCTCAGGAGTTGCACGGATATCCTCTGCTGTATTATCTTTATAATCGCCTTGCTGGGATACTTTGCCGTCGGCATCCTTGGTAAGACCGAGTCTTCATCACTACGCCACGTTTCTTGGTTTTATTTATAAAGTAATATAGTATCTTAAAGATTTATATATGAGGACCTAAAAGTATTATCTGAGCCGTAAGAGAATTTGGCTCATTTAAACTTCTGATAAAGAAAAGTTTACAAATGTGTACGGTTTGATTTTATTCAGCAAAACGAGCCGAAAATACAGAAGTGGAAAAATAACATCTCATCTAATAACTAGTTGTCTTCTGTCTGGTCACACCGTGTGGTCACCTTGTTGGTTCATGGCCGTTCTGATGAGGTTCCACACCTTATAGAGACTTTTCTCATTCTGCCTGCAGCTTGGTCTCAGGGTGACCCCAAAAAGGTGATTTACCCCACCGACAGTCGGGGGCAGTTCTGTGGGCAGGCTGGAACCCCTCTGGAGTAAGTCACTTGTTTATGTTTCATAATAGGATTGTCACGGTGTGAAAATGTAGCCTCACGGTTATTGTGACCAAAATTATCACGGTTTTCGGTATTATCGCGGCATTTTTTTTAAACGTGTTACATTTTCAGACAACTAAATAAACCCTGTATATCAGGAAAATATTGTCCTCAGTTTGTGTCTAAATTTTGCCTAAAATGTGTTAATTTGTAATTATGTTGTTTATTTGTTTACATTTTTCCCCTTTAGTCTTTAAAATACCAATATTTGCCCATAACTTCTTATTTTTTGTCTGTTTGATGTCATCATTTTAAAAATATTAGATCAGATGATACTCAGTACTCAAGTAGCCTTCTAATTAGATACTTTTTTACCCTTACTTGAGTAATAAACCCTATATCAGGAGAATATTGTCCTCGGTTTGTGTCCTTCCAGTGAGCTTTGCAGATGTGGGAAAATGTCATCAGGCAGTAATCATTGTTAAATTCATAATTATTCTCGGAGAGAGACCAACTCTTATCTGCCCCTGGGAGCCCCGCAATGCATAGCGTCATTTCAACATGGCGGTGTCTGCGACACGGTTTATATGCAGGTAGCGGCGCTGCGGCTGCTTTATATAGCGACTCGTTGCATTCTCCCTCAACCTAAATCCTCGGATCACGCATTTTAGCTAAAACGCTAACTTGCCTTGCGCTGACTGTAGAGTTGTGGGTGATGGTCACGCAGATGTGTCATGAGATTTGAAGCGTTGCTGCCTTTCACTGACACTTTTTCTACACGTGCTGCAAACAGGATAGCCGTCTTCTATCGACTGTCCCTCGGCATTCTTCAAATATCCAAAAAAATGCCCATACTTCCCACTTTGTCTTCTTTGAGGGATAATAAATGTCCTCCTGAGCGCCGCCGTCTCCTCCTTTGGCCATTATTTCAGCTTTAGCTTCAAGAAAGTTTTGGTTGTAAACAACAAAGTGCGCATGTGCCGCCGGCAACTTCAGCAGATGATACGGTGGCTGTTAAGGGTCACCGCGCCGACACTAAAGCCACGGTAATCCACCGAGATAATACAGTTTTAAAAACAAGACGGTTATTATCATTGTCAATTTTTTTTACCGGGGTTTACCGCTACACCGGTTACTGTGACAACGCTATTTCTTACCATAGAAATATGACTAAACCAGAGTCCTATCCACCGTGCTCAAGTGATGGGTGTGTTTCTCTGTCCCGCCTGCAGAAAAAAACCTCTTCTGTTCTACTTTAACATCCTGAAATGTGCCAGTCCCCTGGTGCTGCTGGAGTTCCAGTGTCCCACCACGCAGGTCAGCACCTCCACCCGTCACTCATTCATTCCTGCACCCACCCGGGGTTTCCTGACTGTTGGTTGTTTGTGTTGGCACAGTTATGTGTGGAGAAGTGTCCCGACAGGTACCTCACTTTGATAAAAGCCAAGTTAGGCAGCAAGGAAGACCGTGAGTACTACTCAGGATACTGCAAGGATGGAGTCAACTTCACCAGACTGGTACAAAACCCACACCTTTCTGAAAAAGCTGAGTTTATACGGCTAAATGTGAAGTTTTACAGAAAAGTTTAATGAAACTTCCTGCTTCAGAGTCCTCCTGAGATCCTGAGGGACGGCCTTTGTCCTGCAATGCTGCTGCCCAGTAAAGCTTGTGAGTGAAGATCTTGTTACTGGATCCGTTGTTCCTGTTGGAAGTTTGAAAATCCAATAAAAAGTCCTCCCTCCACAGTCACGCGCCGCTGCCTCCCCGCACTGGGAAGGATGAAGGGGGGCGTGGTCGTGGTGGGAAACGAGACCACTTTTGTGGATGATGACAACAACCGAGTCAACGCCACCGAACTGCTGGACGCATCAAAGTGAGTCAGCTTCACATCCATGGCAACAACTGCATTAAACTGTATTTTTTATAACATTTGGTTGAGAATGTAGTGTAAGTCTAAAAACTGAATACTTGGTAGTCTCGTATAATAATAGTGATTAAAAAAACCTGAATATTGAATATTTGTAGTAAAAACAGCTACGACGTGCCACAGGCAGAGAAATGTCAAAGTTTGGAGTAAAAATAATAAATGGTTGAAAAGACAAATCCGTTTAGGTATTGAGACTTGGATCTTCAATCCTAAACTGTTCTTTAGTGGCTTTCTTAAAATAAAATGTGTTAAAGGAGCATCAAGCCCAGTACAAGAACTGTCACTAATGCACGTACGCGCTTGGTCCTTAAAGAGCAAGTCACCCCAGATCAACTTTTTTTTTCCTGATGAACGATATAAATGCGTGTCTAATCGTGCTGCAGACACGTGTAGTCAACTACTTTTTTGACAGATAACCCATTTGAAGCTTTTTTGCTTTACTTGAATAATCGCCATGGAAACTAGACCCTAATGACCCTAACCTGGTTTTGTCTGATTTAAAGGAAGTCTAATTACGCGTTGGAAGCTCGGCAGGTGGCTATGAGAATCTTTGAGGACTACACTCAGTCTTGGCACTGGATTTTGCTGTAAGTTATGTTATTGGTTAATTAATACATTTACATCTTTATGTCTAGTTTTCAGCTAAAATGTTGTTTAAAGCTGATTAATTTCTCTCTCTCTGTCCACCCTCTGCAGCGGCCTGCTGATCGCAATGGCCGTCAGCTTGATTTTCATTGTCCTACTGCGATTCTTGGCAGGCATCATGGTCTGGATCATGATCGTTTTGGTTATTCTCGTCATCGGATATGGTAAACCCCTCTGGGCGTGGAAAATGAAGTCATTTAAGATGCCTCCTACTAACGTAGCTAACCTCTGTGGGTGTTTTCAGGTATTTTCCACTGCTACATGGAGTTTGACAGCCTGAAAGGAGAACCCGGCGCCGACGTCACCATCCGGGATCTGGGCCTGCAGACAGACTTCTCTCTCTACCTTCAGATCAGACAGACTTGGCTCGCCTTCAGTAAGCGCGGCGGCGTTTTAACGTTTTCGGGTTTTCTTCACGTCGGGTTATTGAGTTTTTTACTGATTTGCAGTGATCATCCTGGCCATCGTGGAGTTCATCATCATCCTGCTGCTCATCTTCCTCAGGAAGAGAATCCTAATCGCCATCGCTCTCATCAAAGAGGCCAGCAGGTCAGCCTGAACTGGTTGTTTATTCCAGAATGAGACATACTTAATGAAATGCGTTTAAACATTAAAGATGTTTATGCTGAAAAACCGTTTAGAGGTGGTGTTCAGAATACTAAAGCTGATTTATTGGTTTACCAGCTAGGGTTGGGCATCATTTGATTTTGAACGATTCCAATTCCTCGTTTCCATTCTGGTTCCTATCGATTCCAGATTCCGATTCTTTCAAGACGTGACATGTTTAACGTGAGCCAGCTAACCACAGGTCCTACTTGCTTAAATAATCTGAACTTCAACATGAATTTTAACTCTGTGAACAACAACATCACCTTCATTTAGACAAAAACATGTTTTGGAGAAAAAAACAAAAAGACTTGCAGCACATCCAGTGTGTTTGTTTCTGACCACAACCAAAGTGTGGAAGCAGCCTCTGGGATGAGAGGCTAAATGTCTCCAACACATCCAGAAACGTCCAGCTGTTTTCAGCTAAAACTCTCAGGATGATCATGTCCAGGATGACTGAGAACTACACCTCCATGCTGCAGCAGCATTCAGTCAGAACAGGAAGTGAAACTTAAACGTAGCTGCTGTCAGTAACAATCTAACAGATTTTAAACATTAAAACTCAACAGAAACAGTTCAGAAAGGAAATTAAAATGTTATTTATTATTATTATTATTATTATTATTATTATTATTTATTGTGGCAGAAGCTGGTGTGGTCCACCACAGAGAAGCTGCTCTAGCATGATGACTTTAATTATTCTACAGGTTATTGTTCAGCCTTCTGACGCTCACACACACACACACACACCCACACACGAGTGTTGGTGAGCGGCTGCGTCTGACTGCTGACGCTCCGTGTGTGTTTTTATTTCTGCAGTGAGACAAACTCACCTCACACCGTCCAGAGTTTGTTCTTTAAAGCTTCTATTAAACCCACCGTGTTGACGTATTTAACACGTTTCCTCTACGCTGCAGGAGTTAACGTTTACATTACGGAGTAAAAGTTCGGCAGACGCGTTTGTTTACATCTGGGTGGGGGGAGGGGGGGCTCGTGCTGCACACAGACAGCTGGTGTGATCAGCTCTGAAAAGCCTTGATCACAATTTGCAGATCACGTTTATTTTTCACGGAGATCGGCCGCGGATTCCTCTTCCGTCAGCATTCTAGGAATCGAAATAAAAAAACTTTGAACGATTCCGGGGAAAACAAACAGTTGGAACCGGTTCCAGTCGATGCTCGATGCCCAACCCTATTACCAGCAGCATCTCTGGTGCATCCAGAGGTCAGGTCCAGCAGGAATTCCTCCAACATTTCTGCCAAAATAACAAAACAGCAATAGTGTGAATGTGTAGACTATGAATAACAATAATATTCACAGGAACTGCTGTCAAGCACCCATGCACTTTAAACTAACCATTAGCTATTCAGTCCTGTTGGACATAAAAGCTATTTCTCTGAATGGAGGCCTTTCAGCGAGCTGTTAGACGATTGTTTATAAGTATTACACACTTGAAAATGGCAGAAATGTCCCTTTAATGTGTCTCTGTGGATCTGTCAGGCTTAGAGTAACGGGATGAATCAACAGTAAAATGTTGTTCTTGTATTCTTTAAACTTGTGTTTTGCTTTGATTTCGTCAGAGCCGTTGGTCATGTTATGTCGGCGCTGTTCTACCCTCTGCTGACCTTTGCCCTCCTGGGTGTGGTCATCGCTTACTGGGCCATTACAGCTGTGTATCCTTTCACCGGTCGTCAGTGGCAACCAGAACCACATCATCGTTTTCTGTTGATATGACAGGTGTAGCATGACTCTTGAAACCTCCTGACTTTGAAGCCTTGACCACTCTGAACAGGTTCCTCTCTACGTCTAACGAACAGATCTACAAAGTGTTCAACAACTCCGACTGTCCGTTCTCTCTGGAGACCTGCGACCCGAAGGTTGGCCTCCAAGAGTCACTTTTACATCAAGTATTGGGTTTGATCTTTTCAGAAAGGTCGTCTGTAAATCCTTTTCTTCTTGAGAAACCTAAAGGAAATGATGGAGGGGCCAGGTTGTGCTTGTTTGGAAGCAGTTCTCTACTCTAATCTGCCTCTTCTTGGTTCCTCCGCAGACGTTCAACACCTCAAACGCTTCCGCTCAGTGTCCAGATGCTGAGTGTCTGTTTGCTTTTTACGGTGGTGAGACCATCTACCACAAATACCTCATCCTGTTTCAGTTCTACAACGTCTTCCTGTTCTTCTGGTGTGCAAACTTTGTGACGGCCCTGGGTCAGGTGACCCTGTCGGGGGCATTTGCATCGTATTACTGGGCCTTTAAGAAGCCAGATGACATCCCAGCGTACCCCATCTTCTCCTCTCTCGGGCGAGCCCTCAGGTTAGAACAGAAAAGCTTTGATTACGACCTTGTTTCTAGTCCAGCGCCGCTTCATGTTTGGTAAAAACAGCAGCTGGAATCTGGCAGGATTTCACTGGAAAAAGGTTCATCTTTCCAAAGGAGGCATATGTTGGGATCAGCAGGTGGGAGCTCCTGGCACATCTGAATTCTCAAGCGTAGCTTTTGTTTGGTTTAGGTACCACACCGGCTCCCTGGCCTTTGGCTCGCTGATCCTGTCTTTGGTTCAGGTCATCAGGGTCATTCTGGAGTATCTGGATCACAAGTTAAAAGGTTGGATTTTAACTGATTCTGGTGGTGTTTGTTTGTTGGTCCTGCACTTGAGCCGTTTCATGTTTAAGCTTATGAATCAGAACAGCCAACTAAGGTGTTAAAGGTGTTAAATCCAGCAGTGGATTGTGGGTAATACCCTTCGCCCAAGTCTACATCGATGCAGATTTGGGCGAAGTGCAGATCAAGGGTGTAACAGGGGCGTGATCAACTTTCGCACTTGAGAATCGGGACATCCAACGCACTCGCACCCCTGGCAAGTGTAGAAGTGTGAGTATTGGGATCGGGTTTTAATTGTTCTTCCAACAAACTGAAAATTCTAACTGCTAGCATTACAGCTAACAGCAGTAATGCTGCCCCTTATTGACCCTTTGCACCTACGTCACCTAATCACGTGGGTCCGCCATACTGGACGGCAAAAGCATGTAAACAGTGAGCGACACGAGTACTAAACAAAGGGAAAAGTAGAGCTTGAAATAGTTTTTGCGATCTTTAGCATTCCCTCTACTAGTTCAAGGTCGTGTTCAGTTATCAGAAGAAGTACCGCACCTAGATGGGGCTCATAGAGAGCGGTATCTATAAAAGTTATGTGCTATTAACTAGCTTAAGAATGTTAGCTTAAGTTCTCTCTGCAGCCATTTATCCATGTAAACAAGCTGCCTACTTTGCCTAAATTCACCCGACCTGGTTTATAACATTGTTATAAACAGCATTTCACTTTACACCGAGGCTGATTAAAAAAATGTCTGGATGCCTACTAGTTTTTGTTGCTGGTGGTGTCACACCGGGATGAGACAGGATCTCTCTTAACGGCGACGCTCGTACTAAATAACCTAATTTTAACACATGTAATCACACATCGGAGCCTTAATGTTGTTAATAATTATCTCACTTTACACTACAGTGGATGGTACCGCGCATCCACCATGGTGAAATATCCATCCATCAGAAGAACACATCACACTTGTCCCTGTCTTCGTCATGAAATAAATACCGTATTTTCCGGAGTATAAGTCACACCAGCCATAAAATGTATAATGAAGAAGAAAAAAAACATATATGTCGCATTTTGGGGAGAAATTTTATTATTTTTCTTACAAAATCTGAGACCAAGCATTTCACATTGCAAGACAAGTACCGGTAACAATAACAGAATAAACAACGCGGTCGCAGCAGCGCGCCACGGTCTCCAGCAGAGGATGGCGGCGTTTTAAACCCTCCCAGCGGGACAGAGGAGCTGAAACCTGGACCGGAGCCGGCCCGCAGCAGCGCGGTATAGATAATTTGGTATATACGTCGCAGGACCAGCCAGACTATGAAAAAAAAGTGCGACTTACAGTCCGGAAAATACGGTAACAGTTAATCTTACCCGGTAAAATCACGTTCGCTGTAAACCTGAGGGCTGCTAGTCCGTTTGATTGATCGCTGCAGTTCGTCTCCGTCCTCCGTCTCCATCAACGTTATTAAAAAAAAAGAAAATATTTTACTGTGACACCAACTAAATAAAAGCGATAAAAGGCTACAAACGGGCTTGTTTTACTAGCTTCACTGGAGTTACAATGGGTGTAAACAGTCTTTTTGCCGTCCATTATGAAGAACGGGGCGGTCCCATGAGTGACGTGACGTCACGTGCAAAGGGTCCTTTGCATGTGGAGGAGCACCTACCCACTCCTCAAAACTGCTAAGTGCAGCGTCTGGCCACTAGAGGGCAGCAGAGTGGGCTCAGAGTGAAGTTTCTACTCACACACTCCCTCAAACCCACTTATGAAGGAATAGCTTAAAGTGTTAAAAACTGTTTAGTGTTACTGTAATTTAAGTAATGAATTAAAATACCGTTAATGTTTAAATAAATGTGTTTTATTGTGTTAAATACCGAATATCTTCATGACTCATCGGTGCTCACGTGGCCTCATAAAATATTTAGTAGAAACGAAACGTTAAACATTTTGGTTTTGAGGCAAGTTTGGTGAAACACAAGCAGGACAAACCGAATCCGACTAAAGCTGAGTGCCTCACATCCCAAACGTGAACAGGAGCTGCTCTCTCGCTCGTGTTTTTCAGGAGCGCAGAACAGGTTTGCTAAATTCCTGCTCAGCTGCTTGAAGTGCTGCTTCTGGTGTTTGGAGAAATGCATCAAGTTCCTGAACCGGAACGCTTATATCATGGTGAGCGTCCGCAACCGGATCCCGGCGACTGAGCGGCGAGCCGTTCTCGCACGCTTTAACGACCTTGTTGTTGTTTACAGATCGCCATCTATGGGAAAAGTTTCTGCACTTCGGCTCGAGACGCGTTCTTCCTCCTCATGAGGAACATCGTTAGGTGTGCTGCAGTGGATTCTTTAAGTGTTTGGTACCGGGATGTGCTGTCACTCATCGCCGTGTCCTCTTCTCTGCAGGGTGGCGGTTTTAGATAAAGTCACTGACTTCCTGCTGTTTCTGGGGAAGCTCCTGATCGTTGGCATCGTGGGTAAGAGGCGGTTTTATTCATAGGGACGTCTGCGAGGTTTTCTGCTTCAGATCAATAAATATGCTTTTCATCTCTCTGCAGGAATTTTCTCTTTCTTCTTCTTCTCCGGGAGAATCAGAGCCGTGGAGGACGCTGCGCCTGCCCTCAACTACTACTGGGTTCCAATCCTGGTGAGCCTGGCTTCATGTTCATGGCGCGGTTCTGATTTTACAGCCCGGCGTTTGACGTTATGTGACTTTGTTCTGTTAGACGGTGGTCTTTGGAGCCTACCTGATCGCTCATGGCTTCTTCAGCGTCTACGCCATGTGTGTGGACACACTCTTCCTGTGTTTCTGTGAGTCATTTTAATATTTGCTCCCACCAGATTTCAGGCATGAGTGTCTAAAACTGAGCTGCTGGTTTCTCTTCCTCCTGCCAAAGTTCTAACTTTTCTCCTCTTTGTCTCATTTTCCCCCTTCATTTCATTTTTCCTTTATTTTCACACATTCTGTTGCTTTTTTCCATCTTTTCCCATTAAACCGATGAAAATACGTTGCACGTGCTCAAAAAAATCAAAAAGGTGAAGACTTGGAAAGGAACGACGGCTCCTCTGAGAGACCTTACTTCATGTCTCTCGAGCTGCACGAGATCCTCTCCAAGACTAAGAAAGTGGAGGAGGTGTGCAATGGCACCGAGCAGCCAGACGGCGCCACTAAAGAGGACGAGGTGAAGCTGGAGGAGGAAACGCTTCTTCAGCCGCAGGGTGGAGAGGTCCAGCTCAAACAGGAGCCTGTGCTCAAGCAGGACAACGAGAAGCAGCCACTGCAGTCCAACACCGAGGATGAAGAGCCAAAAGAGGAACTAAAAGGCAGTGAGGGAGATGAAGGTGAGAAGACAGAAGCACCAGAGGGGAAAGAAGCAGTAGAAGAACAGGAACCAAAAGCAGAGGAGAAGGTAGAGGAGGTGTCAGCCGCAGCTGTGGAGGCTGATGAAGAGAAAACGGATGAAAAGAAAGAAGAAAACCCAGAATCAAACGAGGAAAATGCTCCATCTGCACCCCAGGAGTAGATGCTGCAGAACAAACATGGCCTGATAAACCTCCTGAAGCCTAAAGAATGAAAGATGTGTACGTACAGCGTTGTGATCCGGACCTATTAAATGTAAAGCATCCAGCTCACGTGTCAGACGTGCGTGGACGCCGTCCCCCCGCAGAAGGTTTCGTTCAGAAGCCCGGGGCAGGTTTGCAGCTTGAATAAAGCGAAGCTTCTCTGTGTTGGTTTTTTATATCGTGAAGACCCGTAAACCGTAGTGAGTGCTGAACTCGTGCCTGATTCCCGTCAGTGATTTTTGTTTTAATCTCGTCGCCGGATGCACTACAGAACCAACCGCGTTTACAGTCACAACAAACATTTTCTCGGTGAATCTCTGTTTACAACAAAACCAGCTAACGCCAAAATGGTTCCAACATGTGGAACACACTGGATGAAAACTGGGTTTTTTCATACGGAACGTGTAAATAGCGTCTGTTCATTGTGACTTTTCTTGTTGGGCTTCAGTCTTGTTGAGATCCTCACCGGGGACTGACTCCACATGTTGTATCGCCACCTTCTTGCCTTGTTATCTGGTGTAAGTGCTGTGACTGTGTGGCCACGATGCAGACACCACGACCTCTGCAGATCCCCCTTCCCCTCGAGCCTGGCCCGCCAGACTCCTCCTCCTGTTTAGTTCTGCACAGAGAAAGGGTCTGGGAACCCCGCCCCCTGAGAATTCTAACCGAGCCAATCAGCGCTGAGCAGCGTACGTCACACATCGAGTTTGTCGAACATGGCGACTGAAGCGGAGTTCGCCGCAGCTCTTTCCTCTGGTCTAAATGACTCGGACACGTCTTTAAAACAACAAGTAGAAGCGCCAAAAGCCTTTATCCTAAAAAAAAAGATGTTTGCGCCGTCGCCAGACACCATTTTTGACTACAGCTAAAAAACTACACACAGCGAGGCTCAGTTTCTCATAAACAGCGAAGACAGCGGCGGAGTTCTCTGCGGCTCTTTCCTCTGGTCTAAATGACTTGAATGCCTGTAAAACCACAAATAGAAGCGCTAAAAGCATTTCTTAGGTGTGTTCTTGCTGTGTCGTATCTCTAATTCCATGTTGTAGTTCATTTTTAAAACACAGCAGTTTTGTTTACCTGTTTTCCCGCTATGCTCTGTGTTTTAAAAAAGAACTACAGCATGGAAAAAGCATTTCTTCTAAAAGAATAAAAGACGTTTGCGCCGTTGCCAGACGCCTTTTTTTTTTAAACTACAGCTAAAAAACTACAGCGTTGCGCGGTACAGCAGGAGCGGTGTTAGGCCCGGCTACTTGGGCTGAAGCCCCAGATGTTTCATGAAAAGCCCCGGATCTAAATCGCGGAAGTAACATGCAGTACCAAAGTCCAACAGAGAGGGAGCAGCTGGCAGTAGTTTGTATACAGCCTGCCTGAGCCTCCACCACTGAAGAAGAAGCCCTTCAGCAGCCGGCTTCTTCTACAGTCTGCCTGAAACGCATGAGTGAAGATGGACATGAGGACGTTTATTAGACCAAAAGTACCGCGACAGAACCCCAGCTTTGATGAGACTGGTGCTGACTCAGGTTTGTGAGTCTTATTTGAAAATATTTGTTGTGCTGCTGGTTTGCCTAAAGTTAGCTTATAAGGTAAAGTTGATGGAGAAAGAACGGGAATATTTACTATCATCTCACACTAAACACTAACAGGAACAATACTCTGCCCTGAAAATGCTTAATGTGTAGCTTCAGATTAAAAATTATGTGGTACAAGACAAATATGATGTTGACTAGTGCGTGTCATGTGTGTGTGTGTGTGTGTGTGTGTGTGTGTGTGTGTGTTAAGCCCCGGATCTTCTTCAGTCCTAAATCCACCCCTGCGCCTGCGGTACAGTCTGCATTTCCGTCTTTTTTTCTGATTGGTTATTTTTCAGCTGCCTAGTCCCGCCCCTCAGGAGGTTACCAGACCTTCTCTGTGCAGAGTTAAATAGAGGACGAGTCTGGCAGGCCAGGCTACTTCCCCTCTCGTTTACAGACTCCTGATTGCCTTGCTTTTCCCTTCTCCTGATCTTTCTCTCCGTCTTAAGTTCTGCATGGTGTCGACTCGACCTCCTGAATGCTCGCAACGTAACTTCTTAAGTGTCTGGATGCGTTTGTACTTCTCTTGTCTGTGAAAGATGTGAAGTCTTTTTCTCCCACTGAAACTTCTGATGACATTCCATATTTACTGGATGTAAATCTTGATTAGAAGTGTATTTAATCATTGTAGTTCTGCTATGGGTGAACGTGCAAACTGTCAGGATGGTTTAGTATTTGGAAACCGGTGAGATTTCAGATGAAGGAATAAAATTTAAAGGGAACTCCAACAGTTTCACATGTCCGAGTCACTTTGATTTGTGCATTTGTCCCTTATAAAAACAATGAAATGTATTCATTCTGGACTTTGTGTGGTTGTGATTTGTGAATATTTCAAAGTAAAACATACCTGAAGAAATTTTTGAGAAGTCAGAGTAAATAAACAAATATTTGCAACTAAATGTCACACACTCTTTTCTTTTTTCTTAAATATTTCAAACAAGTTGTCACATTCCACAAACAACAGCTGCATGAATATAAAAATAAATTCAGCGTATGGTTTTTTTCCCCTTTTTTTGCCAAAATTACTCAATTTTTTTTTATTTGTTCATATCACAGTGGAGGACATGGAGCGCAACGATGGATCAGCTGAGAGGCCGTATTTTATGTCGGAGAACCTGCTCACACTCATGAACAAGTCCAATCAAGGACCAAAGTCTGTCGAATAAATCTGTGTGTGTGTGTGTATGTGCGTGCGTGCGTGTGTGTGTGTGTGTCTGTGAGAGAGTGAGAGAGTGAGTGAGTGAGTAAAAACTGGTGCCTTTCCATTTGTGTACATGTACATAATGTTTTTTTCTGTAAGATGAACAATTTGTTAAACTCTGCTCAAATAAGGAATACCATAAAGAGATTTAATCAACAACAATCTAAATATTATGCTTTAATTTTATGAAATTATTTGATTATTGCTTATGAAGTCATTATGAAAGTTTTTATCAATCAGACAAAAGATTAAGTGAACTGCACTATTTGAAAATAATTCACCAAATGCCTAAAAAGCTGCAAGAGATTACTAGTGGCTTAAGTTTTATTTACATTTATCTTTGTTTTTATTGTCTGGCTTTATTTTAATATTAGACATATTTATAAAAATATTGTTTTGTTTCTTTTCATTGTTATATTTTATTAATATTAAATATTTTAAGTGTGTAACTTTCACATATCAATTTTTTACAACAAATTAAAATGCTAATTGTTTCTTTGTTGGTTTGTGAAGAAATATGGACATGTGTGTCTTACATTTGTTTTAATTTTTGTTGGAGATTTTTGGATGTTTTCCTGTTTGCTGTGTTGTTAAGAATAAGGAAATAAATCGTAAATATTGTACGTGTTTCACAGAAAGCGGAAAAGCTAAATTTAACTTGTTTCTCACGACTGCTCGCAAAAACAGGAAGTGGCTGGTGTCTAAACAAAAGCATGCTTGTTTGTGATTGGTCAGTTTGGACGCAGACAGCTCTGATTGGCGGTCTTTCTTGATAGGCAGCTCTCTCCACCTATAGTGTTTAGTTATCTTCAAGTGGGCGGGAAAAACTCGCGCCGCATCTGCCAGCTTGAAATGTGAGGAAAACATGTTTATGTTTGTGTTTATGTATTTAGCTGACGCGTTTGTCCAAAGAGACTTGCATGTCTCACTAAAATGATCAGATTGTTTTTTTTAAATCAGGTCTAGATTTATTTCATCATCATATATTGAAGTAGTTTACCGTACATCCGAAGATCAGGACATAAACTAATGCAGCAAAAAAATTTTTACAGATTGTTTTATTACTAAAAGAAAACTTATGACACAATATTAGAATAAACTAAACCCGGGATCACCAACCTGGTGCCCCCAGGAACCATATAGGGGGACCACAGACTTTTTCTCCAAATAGCACAAGTCTAAAAAAAAATCTGCTGCCATGTTTTTTATTCACTAATTCCTTAACGTAGATTTAAAAACTACACTCTTCTTTTAAACAAGATTGAAAAATGTTTATTATACATGAAGTTTAGTTTAACTCTGATCTATTTTAGTTCAAAGGTCACTGTGTCAACCTGGTAGCCCAACCCATGACCCCTGAACTAAACTTGATCAAGTGATTTCCTTCATCCCAAACTTTGGTTAAAAAAAAACAGAAGCACCAAAATAAGATGAAACATCAGAGATGTGGTGACCCCTTGGTGTTTAATGGCTGATCTCAGAGCAGCTCAGAAATAAAGTAAAAGGATTACTTCAGAAGTCAACAGTGGTACGATAGAACATCTGAGTGAACTTGGTCCGGAGCCTGTGGAGGAGATTCATGGTATCAGTGATGCTGTAGGACAGAATTCCTGCTCTGTGATCCAGATAAAATCCTATCCTGAAGGAACCAGAACCTGAGAGGACAGTGATGACGTTCTTGTGAGTAAACGAGTATTGTTTTTGTGAAACTCTAATAACCAAGACTTGGCATTAAGTCCAAATCCACATTCACACCCAAATCCTGCTCTGCTGATGCTCTTGTACACGACGGCTACTCCAACGCCATCCCAGTGCCAGTCCACCTCCCAGTAGCAACGTCCAGTCAGACCCTCTTACTCAGAACCTGAGAGCGCCTGGTGAATCTGTCTGGATGGCCGTAACAAGGCAGCTCGTCACCGTTTTCTTTTTGTACCTTAGTGTTTCACATTGATAGTACCAACTCCTTGTTCACCGTGTTTGTGAATATTGCAAGAATCCAGCTCCGGTTTCTGGTTCTGGTCCTGGTTGTGAAGGTACAACCTCCATATCAGTGATTGCCAGTGAGGCATTTATCCAGCTGTCACTCAATGTCCTCTAGTGTGTAATTGAGCGCCATCGCAGTTCTCGACACATCCTCAAAGAGATTCAGAGGACGGATGTCAGTGATGGACGAGGGTGGAGACCCACCGAGTGTTGACACTGAGGGGTAGTTGTGTAGAAACTGGTTGTGATCCTCCGTGTTTAGGAGCTTCTTCAGCTCAGCATCTTTCCTCTTCAGCTCGGCGATCTCCTGCTCCGGCTTCTCCTCAATGTCTTTGCAGTAACTCAAATCTTTTTTCTGCTGGAACCTGATCTGCTGCTTCATATGAGCGCTTCTTTTGTGGATCAGACGGAACAGCTGAGTGAAAATCTTCTCACAGTTCTCTACTGTTGCATCAGCGAACTTGTTTTGGGCCTTCACCTCCTGCTGAAGGGAGTATACCTCTCCTCTCTCCTGGATTCCCTGCTGGATTTCTTCTCGTCTCACCTCCAGCTCTCTCAGCCCTTTCAGCTGCAGCTGAGACTGTCGTGGCCTTTATGCTCCTCCACAGAGCGGAGATAACAGACACACTTCTGATCGGAGCGACAGAACATCTTCATCACCTCGCCATGATTAGAACAGATATTCTCCTGCGGGTTCTTGGAGGGCTCCATCAGCTTGTGTTTCCTGAATGGAGCTGAATCATAATGAGGCTGAAGGTGTTTCTCACAGTAAGAGGCCAGGCAGACCAAACAGGACTTGGTGGCTTTCAGTTTTCTTCCAGAGCAGAAATCACAGGCCACATCTTCAGGTCCAGCGTAGAAATGATCAGCAGGAGCAGCTTGGAGGCTAGTCTTCTTCAGCTGATCCACTAAAGCTGCTAACATGATGTTTTTCTCCAGGACAGGCCTCGGTCTGAAGGACTTCCTACACTGGGGGCAGCTGTGGAGCCCTTTCTGATCCTCTCCATTCCAGTGAGCTTGAATACACATCCGGCAGTAGCTGTGTCCACAGGGAATAGTCACCGGATCCTTCAGGAGATCCAAACAGATGGAACAGCAGAACGTTTCCCGGTCCAGCTGACCTCCTTTCTGCTCCATTTCTCCTCTAATGGCGACTGACTGTGGGACTGGAGAGACTGTAAAAAAAAGAGGCGTGAACTTATTGTTCCCTAACCCTAACAGTCTAAAAAACTCCCAAATTAGGGAATTACTTACTAATGTTATTTTCTCTTATATATCCAATCCAAATTCCATCTCACATCTGTTCTCCGGTGATCAAAAGAATGAGATCAGAAAAAATTACCCTAAAACTTCCCATTCCTCCCAAAGCTAAGGAGGTCCACTTCAAAATCCTCTCTGGTGTTTACCCTTCCAACGAATTTCTCAGACGTCGCTTCGCTATTGATGATAAATGTTGCTCTTTTTGTAATGGGGATATTGAATCAACAGAACATTTATTTTATGACTGTATATTCTGTAAAACCCTGTGGAACGATGTGCACTACTGGCTCTTCCCTAAGATCCCAAACTTACTTGAATTTTCTAAAAATGATATTATGTTTGGTTCTCTAATAAAAGAAAAGAAGCTTGAAAATGTTTTAAATTTAATAATTATTATGGGCAAATTCTTCATTCACAAATGTCGTTTTCTGAAAACAAAGCCGTCTTTTTTTTACTTTTCACAAAGAACTCTGCCTCCTTTTCTCATCTGTTAAATTTATGGACAAAAACGAGCTCTGGATTTGAATCATATATGATTGTGGAACTAGATCTGTCAGAAAACCCCTAAGGTATAACTTTTTTAATGTTTTTTAATTATCTGTCTTTTTGTCCATTTGTTTGCTTATTTGTTCTGTTTGGGGTTTCTTTTTATTTTATTTATTTGTTGTTGTTTGTACTTCCTATTCATTATCCTTCTTCTATATGTTGGAATTCAGCCTGTTCTGATGCTATCTCATGTTGGTAAAACTGATTCTTTGTAGAGATTGCCATAATTGTTGTACATTATTGTGCAAATAAAAAAAAAACTTATTGTTCCGGTTTTTTATGGCGCGGTTGCCCTGCTGAGACGGGGTCCGACGAGGGTCCTGTTACCGTTCGCTTTAGTGTACACGTTGCTAGGCAACCAGAGCCTAGCAAGCTACAGGCTGGCGGTAGCTGGAGCTTAACACGACTGTTAGCTCATTTCTGCTGCTTGCGCTTACAACACTGCACCAAAATGCCGTTCGCCGCCGAGAGAAAGAAACTTCCGCCTCATGACCAAATAACGGAGCTTCAGCGTAAAATCCAACTTCTAGGTAAATTACTTTCAGCCTGAGCTAATGATAAAAAATACGTTCAACTAAACGGTAAAGAATTTTAGCTAACTCTAAATGAACGTAAAAAACAACATCTGAGTCTATCCCGAGTCCTACTAAAAGTTTAAAATGATGATAATCAATATTTTGTTATATAAAAATGTCCGCTAGATGGCGACAAAACTGCATTTTATGAGAGCTCCCAGTCTGCCATGAAGAAGAACCGAGAGTCCATCCTCCAGCTGAGGCAGGACAACAAGAGGTTATACAGAAAAGTGGCAGAAGCTAAAGCTGTAAGATATTCCTCATGGATGAGATTTTTATCATATTTGTTTATATTTTTGGCCCAATTAGATCTTAGCCTCACACAGAAAGATAGTTTGTGTTTTTCCTCTCAGGGTGACGAACACATCATCAGGGTGGCTTTTCAAAACAAAGGTTTGAAGCAGGATGCTTTCCACAACATGTCAGGAAAGGTGAGCTCTGCAGCAAGTTTTACTTTTTAAAAGGCACATCTTTTTATTTACCTTTTTTTATATATATAATATTTGTACATCAGTATTCAGAACTTGATTTTTTTTCCAGGCAGCCCTCACAGCAGTAGACCAAAAGGTGCTGTCCAAAACCAAGCGTCTGAATGCTTCAAAACACACCACACGAACCTACCAACAGCGTCTTGATGAACTGAAGAGGGAATATGAAAGAATAAAACCAGAAGGAGGAAGTGGAGCGGTGTCCTCTAGTGCTTGGGAGCGTAAAAAAGAGGAAGATGTCATGGTAGTTATGGCTCTGGGGCCTCATTTATCAAGTTTGCTTACGCACAAAATGGGGTCGGAAAACTGCGTAAGCAACTTTCCACGCAAACTTTGGGCTTTATGAAAGAAAACTTAGCAGAAAAATGTGTGCAACTTTAAGTTGACTAAGGACCTGGCTTACGCACATGTTGGACATGGAGAGCACCTGCAGTGCTGCTGCTGAGAAGGATAACATTATGAAATCCTGCAGCATTATCACTTGTACTGCTTCATTTTCACACAGAACAAGACCCCCAACACGCATACACACACGCACACACACACACATGCGCGCGCACACACACACACACACACACACACACAGCCTGAAGCGCAGAATACGGAATGCAGAATATCAGCAGGGGGACAGATAGAGACAGAATGTCATGCGTCTGTGACAGCGTGTGTCCTGTCACTTTGACCCGATTGATCATGCACCCTGGCTAGTTGTACAGGGGAGATCTCCGTTTGGGTGGCTGGTTAGCGTGCGTGACTTTCATCCTAGAGTCTGGGGATTGAATCCCGATTGGACCATTTTTTTATATCCGCCACAGATCTCTCTGAAGAACTCAACATTGATGGCTTCAGCAACACTGTGCCACTCCATGGATTTTCTTATTTGTTTTGCAAAAGCACTTCCTTTCATTTCTCCACCTCACCCACAGGTACCTCAACATCTGCTTCTGTGAAATTGCGCCTCCTTGATCTGCCTTTATCTACGGTCGCCATGTCATTGGCGGAGCGCTGCAACAGCCCTCTTATGAATATGCATGAGATCCACAAGGCACTTTGCATTGACCATTTATGGCAGTAAGTGGGCGTGGTGAGGGTGGGATGTGACTAAAAAGCAGCTGAGAAACATTCTTGTTAGTCTCCGATTTATGAAGCGGAGATTGCGTGCAGCTGTGCGTACTCCATCTTTGATAGATCACAAACCTGCTTGGCGTAAGTACATTTTTTTGCTGAGCTTAAGTACGGTTTTAGTAAGGATTCTACGCAATGTTTGATAAATTATACCCCTGATCTCTAATAATACACACATTCATATACCATACCAATTTAATTCTAGAGCACATAAAAACACAGCATGACAGCTGACTGAAGTGCTATACAATAAAACAGACTTAAATTGCAACAAATAAACCAATAAACAATAAATCACAGAGCAAAAGAAACAAACGATCACTGGCAAAACTCCAAGTCGTAGAAGTAGATGTTTAAAAACGACTTAAAGCAAGTAATGGATGGTGCTTGTCTAACTGCATGAGGGTGAAAAGGTTGGAAATGAAAGAGGGTGAGAAGAATTACACGGATCAAAGAGAATTGCTTCAGTCTTGGACTTTGTTTAGCTTCAGAATAGAATAGAATAGACGTTTATTGTCATTGAACCAGCATCCTATTAACTGTGGTCATGCAACCCTAAGACACTCCCATGTTGGTTAACCGGCCCCTTGCCTTCTTTATGCATTTGGGAAGGAGTGAGACAGCATTTGGTTAATTCATAGCCAGGGAAATCTGAAAATCATCAGCATAAATATGCTAATTTCAAGGTCAAGGTCACATTTATTTCTAAAGCACACTTATTATTGCTTCCGCAACCCAAAGTGCCGTACAACACAGAAGATTGAATCGCAAGAAAGTATAACTAAAACCATAAAACCATAAAAATTAGCAAGTTAGGATCAAAACAACATTTCATCTTACAATTATAAAAGCAATAAAAATGAGAAAGAATGACAATGACAAAATAAAATCATCCTACATAAAAGCCAGGTTGAATAATTGAGTTTTAAACAAGGACTTAAAGACATTCAGATTTTGTGAGGTCCTGATCTGCAGAGGAAGACTGTTCCAGAGTGTAGGACCGGCCACAGAAAAAGCCCTATCTCCTCTCGTCTTTAGCTGAGCCTTTGGAACTGACAATAAAAACTGTGAGCCCGACCGCAAATTCCTAGCAGGAGTGTAGGGTGACAATAAATCATCTATATAAGGAGGGGCCAGACCATAAAGTGATTTATAAACAAAAAGCAACAATTTCGGCCATACTTTTCCCAAACTCGACCCAAAGGGCAAATGTAAATGTAAAAGTGGAGGAGCCCAAGAACAGAACCTTGTGGCACTCCCCAAGGGAGTGGGAGACAGGGAGGAGTGTATTTAAGTATATTTGCTAATCAATTTAATCATCTACAAAATGTTATCTTTATTTTTGTTCTAATATGTCCAGTAGGAAACAGAATGATACAAAGATATGTGGAAAAATCACGAATGATCACAAATGTTTGTCCTTAGAATCTGCACGCATTGGAGAATCGTCTGGAGAAAACCCAGTTCAAGAGCAAAGAGGCTGAAAACATCACAAGTTACTATCAAAAACTCAAAACACAACTGCAGGTTGGTACAGCACGCACTGGACTGTCAGTGTCCCTGTGTGTCTCCCGTTTAGTTGAGATGTTTATGCTTCTGCTGGTATTTACGGGACACCTCTACAAGAGCCAGCACTCAGATGATCATTGTTGTTTAAGCTTAAAGCCTTTAGAAGTTAGCAGCTTGTGCTACAACACTTTCATATGCTTTCTCACATAGCTGCGACCGTGGCGTGATCGTCATTTGAGACGCCATCATAGTAGAGGATCACAGCCTTCCACGACCTTTTCTCAGCTTTGTTTGATTTTCATAAACTCACTGTTGCCTCAGTCACCGCAAGCAGTGTAAATAACACCGCCAGCACTCCCTGAGCTGCTTTTTAAAATCACGAGGAGCAGTGTTTTGTTCCCAGAGGAGCCGAACAAAGCCATGCTGTGGGTACTCGACACAAAAATGGCGACTCTTCTGCTGAATGTTTTAAAATACCTCAAACAAATGCATTCTTCAATGTGAGTTGATAGTTAAATGATGTTTGTGAAGGTGTAAAAGATTACTGCCCAACTCACTTCCTGTGCCATCACAGATGGTGTTTCTTTCATTTGTGTCCTGATAAAAAGTTAGATTATTCATTGTTTTATTCTGAGGGATTCTGTGGCTGAAACTTTCAAAAGAAGGATTAACTTTTGCCTTTTATGTTTATTCATTTAGCAGACGCTTTTATCCAAAGTGACTTACGATTTATAACCTATAGGGCATGTTGTGATCTGTGGGGGAAACTGGAGTACCCGGAGGAAACCCACGCATGCATGGGGAGAACACGCAACTCCCCATGATGTATATTAATGATTGTTTCAGGTGTTGTGCATGCATGTGTATCTGCTAGTGTTGAAGGTGTTTTAGAGAACAATAGGTACGCATGAGCACTTCCTTCATAGCACCTGCAGAAAAACATTTCTGGAGCCGCCACTGGTTTTATATAAAGTTTGTTCTCGTCTGCTCACACAGCTTTTGGCTCGAGAATGAAATCCTCTCAACTACCGTAAATCCTCTAATACAGGCCCGGGCCTGTATTTGACTCAAGCTCATCAAGCTCCAGGCCTTTATTGGAAGGAGGGCCAGTATTAGAGGCAGGCCTCAATTTCTATTTGAGCAAAATGAACTAATGGTTCGCTGGAGTTTTTGACAATTAAAATTGCGCCCACATTTTCAAAGTTAAACACATTTCTTTTAACAACGGTAGTTTCTGCTTCAGCCCTCTCCCCCCTCCCCTGCGCAGCGGCCGCAAACTCACTGATGCGCCTGCAGCCTCTCAGAGTTCCTGCTGCTCTAAACATTAAAATAATTATTTCATTTTCTGTTCCTCACTTCTGATTTCCTTCAATGGTGTCTGTTTGTTGCAACCACCAGGTACAAAAACTAACTTGTTTTTATTTGACTATTTTTCTGTCCTGCCTGTTTATTATCTTCCTGCATCTCCTCTCAATCCTAAAGAGAAACTGCTACCTGGGTTCATATATATTCACCTTATGAGTTACCTTTGAACTGCAGTTCTAAAAGATCTACCGACCGCAAAAACAGCGGAGTGCTCGCCGGCCGCATCAGTGATCGGTGCGTCGGAGGACAAGGTGATGTGCCCCGCTCCACAGCAGCGAAACACATCAGGCGCAAATAAAAGACAGAAAACATAAAAGAAATGAACCAACATGAACGATCGCGTGTCGGTACCGACGCTCTGGCACGGCGCGTTGCCCCCTCGACGCGCAGGGGCTCGTCACCTGCTGACAGCAGGCTGCTGTCTTTTCCGAGGGCTGCATCTTGCCGGTCATTATCACGTGACAGCGACTAGTCGACGACAGGCATAAAAAGTCACTATAGTGAAGTCGACTAGTTCATACAACCCCTGCTACTGCTCCCCAGAGTGTTCTGCTGCATAATCAGCACGTTCTCTTTGAATTTGATATCAAATTTTCTCCTCCTCTTCGTCTCCGCACGGTTAAAGTTACCCTCGCGGTCTATCACTGGCAAATCAAAAGTGAGACGATGACACAACCGCCCCCTGTACTTGCTTGTTACCACATTCCACCCGGCCACAATAAAACACCGGCCATTATTCACCTCCGCCGACTCCGACACCGGCCAAAATTGGAGACCCGGCCTTTAATTGAATACCGGCCTGTATTAGAGGATTTACGGTAATCATGAAGCTGTCAGACTCTAATTCAGGGTTTTATTCAACATTTCACAACTTTTATGCTCACAGTCATCAGATATTTATTTATTTGCTCATATTTCTCTGGAGGATGAGGCCACTCAGATGTAACATCTCGTTTTCGAAAGGGTCCACCATCCAAACAGCACAAAAATAAAGACAGCAAGACGGTTAGCAGCTGAAAAAATAACCAAAAATGAAAAGAACTTAAAGGGAAAAATGAAACAAAATTACAGTTAAAGAGCAAGTCACCCCCAACCAGATTCTTACTCAACTCCCACCTGTTTGAAAAATGCCACAAATGCTGTTGCCTAGCAGACCGAGGGGGCGGAGCTGCTAACAAATTCACACACACACACAGGCTCACAACGACATTGTGACATCATATGGTACCAGGTAATGTCCTAGGGCACCACTTAGCCAATAGCGATGGCAGATTTAAATTCAAATGCAGTGCAGAGTTTTTACCTGACAACGGCACAACACTGACAGTTTTAGGCAGAAAATTAAAATTTTTACTAAAATGCACTAAAGTGTTAGCCTGGCAAGCCAGACTAAATAAATGTATTATTTAGTCTGGCCACGCTCCATTGACGGCTCTCGGTTGTGGGGCGGGTTCTACCGTTGTCTTTCAAATGATCTCCGCATTCCACTGGACAATGAATGTGACATACTCTTGTTTCACTCTGTTGCATTATCCCACCCACCAGGCATATAGAGTGCCCTGATTGGCCCACAAAGCGGATAAAGCTCTGTGATTTGTTCACTAAGCAGATAGAGCACTATGATTGGCCCACCATTATACACCAATCACAGCTCTTTATGTGTTTGAAACCCCTCTAGAGAGCTGTGATTGGCTAGCCAGAGTCCTGGTAGGAGCTGCGGAGGTTCCAATGGAGCATGCCTAGACCATTCTTTGCAAAGCAAGAATTTGGTCTAGTTCACTAGGCTACTAAAGTGCAAAACTATTGACTACACGTGTCTGCAGCACGATTAGACACGCATTTATATCGTTTATCAGGAAAAAAGTTGATTTGGGGACGACTTGCTCTTTAAACAGTGTTCCAAAGAATCGAAAAGAAGTAATTGATCATATGTCGACAGGTAAATTATTCCAGTCCAGTGGGGCTTTAACACTAAAGGCAAGTCTTCCCATCTCTTTGAAACATGGGTACAACAAAAGAAACATGCTCATTAAATCTAGTGTTATTAAAACTAGTACACACCAAATACCTTTTAAATTCGATGGAAAATCAAAGAATATACATTTAAAAATAAAAATGAACCACTGAAATCTACGTCTACGATGTGCTGACCCAGAATTGGCATCCTTTTGCTGCAGGATGAGAGTCTGACCTTCCAGGGCCAGCTGGACAGCTTGGAAGCAGAAATCCTGAAGTACAGAGAGGAGCTTCACAGCCTGCAGGTCATGAGGGACGACGCTCAGCTCTCTGAAGAAGCTGCAAAGGTGATCAGCGTTTTCCCTCTCTTCGCTTTGCACAAGCATCCTGGTGAAGCTTTGCATGTCTCATTCTGTCCCCCTGTCTTTCCACCAGGCCGCGTTCCAGCAGCAGGACGAACTGCTGTCCAGAGAGCGTAAGGAGAGGGAGAGAGCAATAACAAGTTACAGGAAAATAGTTGAAGAGCACAAGGCAGAGACTGGAGAAACTGAAAGAAGTGTAAGATGATCGCTGCTTTTAGATGTCTAATTCTGTCCATGGTCTCATAAAATGTGGAATTCAGTAAGTTAGGATGGGATTCAGCTCTGACACTGGTTGTAAACACGTGCTGACATTTAAAACGGGTGGCCTGCAGGTGAAGAGAACACCTCTGCAGCCAGATGAGCTGAGCAGCGAGGCCCAGCACAGCACCACTAGGATCCCCGCTGAGGAGGAGAAGGCCTTTTCTGCTCTGGAGGAGGCCTTCGAACGCATCAAGGAGACCACCGGAGCCACGGACGTGCAGGTACCTGAGATCTGATCTTCAGTAGGGAGCAGATTTCACCTTCTTCTCATCTAAAAACACCTCACGCTGAAGCTGGGATCATTTCTCTGGTTGTTTGTTTAGGAGATAGTGAAGCGCTTCACCTCACAAAAGGAGATGCATGAACATCTGGAGAAGCTGAAGAAAGAGAACGAGGAGGCCCTGCTGCAGCTGAAGGAGCAGAGGGAGCTTCTGATCCAGCGGTTTGAAGAGGAGGAGTATTCTGGAGATGCTAAGCTGTCATGGTGAGACTCACGTTGACCCTATGAGAACCCTGACCAGCTGTTTTTGTTTCTCTGGTTGAAGGAACCCGTGTGTCCTAAGGGTTGTTTTAGACTCTCCTTTTTTTGTCTTTGTGCTTTCATTAGTGAGCAGCAGAAGCTGGAGGAGGCCGAGCTTCAGCTTCAGGCTCACCAGCAGAGGTGTGACTCTGCCAGGGAGCGGCTGGACTGGCTCACAACAACCCTCAGTACCGTTACAGCAGGAGTGGAGCACCTGGCAGAGAAACTGCAGCACATCACTCTGGTAAGACACCTGCTCACGCTCGCACACACAGCATACCTGCAGTCTTTCTGTCACCGTTCCCGTTCCAGAGCGCGGGCAGAGTTACTGCGCAGCAGCCAGACTCGGAGGAGGCTGTGCTGGCGCTTCTGGCCCAGTGCGAGCTACAGCTGCAGCTGCTGCAGAAGGAGTTTGAGGGGAAAGATCTGACTGCTATCATGAAGGAGATGGGAGAAGACGAGGTGAGAAAAAGCTTCAGTACACTCTAGCCATCACATCTGGAGCTCGACAGGATCAAACACAGATTTGACGAGCTGCTGTAAAGCAGATGTTTTGTTATTTAATAACCCCTCACATAACAATTATGACCCAGAAGATGCTTTACATTCATTTATTTCAAACTCTGTCATCACAGTTATACACCGTCTGGAGGTTAGGGACAATATTTAGGCATCAAAAGCTTTTTAGTTTCAGTTAGATCTCCAATCCAATCCAATCCAATTTTATTTATAAAGCGCATTCACAAGGCATTACAACCAAACAAGGCGCTGTACACTAAAAATGTTAGTTAATCAAACCGGCGGTATACAAACATGTCGAACACAGATAAAAGATAAAAAGGAAATACAACAAAATTCCCAAAAGCTAACAGCTAAAAATCAATAAGACACAGGGTGAATAAAAATTAGAAAAACATTTAAAAAAGAACCTCAATAGTATGGAAGTTGATATTGTGAAGTCCATTTTTAAACAATGCAGATGTAAGTGAGGTTCATAATTATGTGGTATAAGCTAGGTTGAAGTAGTGAGTTTTCAGGCGTGATTTAAAAATGCTAGCTGTTGGTGCTAGCCTCACTAGCAGTGGTAATGCGTTCCACAGCTTCGGTGCACAGACAGAGAAAGCCCTTTCTCCACGGCTTTGTAAACGAGCATTCGGAACAGCTAGGAGGAGCTTATCTTCAGACCTGAGAGCATGCGGCGAGTTGTAGTAATGGACAAGTTCACACAGATATGGAGGAGCTTGATGGTTCAAGGATTTGTAAGTCAGAAGCATAATTTTAAAATTTATCCTGAACTGCACGGGCAACCAGTGGAGAGATTTCAGAATTGGAGAAATGTGTTGTCTTCTGTCAGCTACAGTCAGCAACCTAGCTGCTGAATTCTGGACCAGTTGAAGTCTAGAAAGAGCTGCTTTACTGATGCCGTATAAGCAGGAGTTAGAGTAATCCAGCCTTGAGGTGATGAAAGTGTGGACCACAGATTTCAGAAGACCGACACTCAGGATGTGCTTTAGTTTTGAGATGCGTCTTAGTTGGAAAAAACATGATTTAACTGTGTTATTGACCTGGACATCCATCTTCAGAGCCTGGTCCATTTTTACTCCAAGGTTGGAGATTACAGAGGATACATTAGGTGAGAGATAGTTGAGGTCAGGTTGATGAGTCACCGTGGTACTGTTAGGACTGAAAACGATTAAGTCAGTTTTGGAGTCATTGAGATGGAGGAAGTTATCAGCTAGCCATTGCTTGACCTCAAGGATACAATCAGACAGAACTTTCGTTGATTGAGTTGGCTTAAATGAAAAATAGATTTGACAGTCATCAGCGTAAAGATGGTATGAGACAGCGTGCTTTCTGAAAATGGCTCCTAAGGGCAGTATATAGAGGTTGAACAGTAACGGGCCGAGAATTGAACCTTGTGGGACACCCCAACGTAGAGGCTGTGACTCGGATGAACAGCCATCTAACATGACCCTAGCAGACCTGTTACAAAAGTATGACCTAAACCAGTGGTTCCCAAACTTATTTAGCCGTGCACCCCCTTCTATGTCCCGACCACATATATATATATATATATATATATATATATATATATATATATATATATATATATATATATATATATCAGATGTCAAGCTAAACAGAAAGGGTTAAAATAATTCCCCATCACTTTCATTTTTTAAATAGTAATTAATAAGCATTCGATACCATTACAATTTCCTTTGATTTCATTTTGAATAAATGTTTAGAGTGCCCAGGTAGCACATAAACAATGCAATTTAACGGTTTTCTTAAAGTAGGAACGTTTAACCTGTGCGGCCAGAGCGCTCTCCTTCCTTCTGCTCTGCGTAAACCTGAACGGATCACCTACTTGTGCGTAATCAAATGTCAATAGGGGACAAGATATAGCCATGATGTTCACTTTTACCTCAGACCGACTTATTGCTGTTTTATGGTGTGGCTGAATCTGCGATCCGCTGTCATGCGGACTGGAATAGCAAACGCTGCAGTAACAGGACTTGTGGTCAGGTTCATGAGGAGTCACTGGCTGGAGCGGACCCGACTCATCCCAGAAGCTAATATCTTAATTTGACCTTGAATGAAAAATAACCTCTTAAAAGTTTTTATCACGGTGGAGGCAGCGTTCATTTCTGCCTTCAGTCTGACGGCGGGCCGGAGTTAAAGCAGCGTGTGCGCTTATTGAATCTGTGTGTGTGTGTGCGCGCGCACGTGCGCGCGGCACAGCTGCTCAAATTACCGCGTCTCGCGCTATTTAAACCAATGTTGTAAAATTCCTTCTGCCCAGCCCAGATGTGCTCACTTGTGCACCCGTGAGCCGTGGTTCAGCCGGAACGTGTCTGACCTCTGACAGACGCACTCTGAACTTCAGATCTTCAGCGCGCTGTCAATAGCCTGGATGGGAATCATTTCTTGTTATTTAGTTACATCCACAATGTTCTGTGTGTGAGGTTTACAACGTCAGAACACCTGCATGAGACAGGTGTTAATTACAATCTGCCAGAATGACTCACCACCTTCAGATTTCTCCAACACCGTTAAAAATGATCAAATACGGAACATATCGGCGTGCGCAGGCCAGAGTGCTGAAGCTCGGCGCATTGTTATTATGAAGCTAGGGCACATGCGGAGGACATGCGCGCACGCACGCAAAAATATACTTGTTTTCAATTACATTTATTGTGCCCACTTACTTTTTGTTTGGCCCACCCACAAATGAGTTTCTACGCTAATGGTGACATATGACAGACTTCTCTGAGCTCCGCAGCCATTACACTTTTCACCTCGCGCACCCCCTAGCGGCAGCTCGCGCACCCCTGAGGGTGCGCGCACCACACTTTGGGAATCCCTGAATCCAGGGCTGTGCCTGAAATGCCAGCCCAAGTGTGAAGTCTTGTGATCAAAATGTCATGATCAATCGTGTCGAATGCTGCAGATAGATCCAAAAGTACCAGAACCACATGGAAACCTGAATCTAAAGCCAGAAAAATGTCATTAAACACCCGAACGTGAGCAGTTTCAGTGCTGTGCTGTTTTCTAAAACCAGACTGACAGATGTCCATTACCTGAATTTCATTTAGATGTTTCACCAACTGTGCATAGACTATTTTCTCAAGAACCTTAGATAAAAATGGTAATTTGGAAATTGGTCGGAGATTAGAGTAATCGGTGGGATCAAGGCCGGGTTTTTTCAGGATTGGTTGTAGAACAGCGTGTTTAAAGGCACGAGGAACTTCAGCCAATGTCAAGCTACTATTTATAATGCCTAGCATGCTATTGCTAATTAAAGGAAACACTTCTTTCAGGAGTTGAGGTGGGATAACATCATCAGGGGAGCCAGAGGGTTTCATGGCTGCAACAGTTTTTTCTAGATAGGGCAAAGAGATGGGCTGAAAGCTTTGAAGTTGCACATGAGAGGGGGTAAATGAATCAGGAACATGGTTGGTTTGGTGAATCTGAGCTCCGATTACAGTAATCTTATTTAAGAAAAACTGCAGGATTTGGCTACACAAGTCAGCGGACACAGAAGAAAATAGTTTTTGAACTGGGGAAAGCACTGCATTTATGGTTTTATATAACCCTCCATAGCAGCCAGGCAGGATGAATCAAACACACGAAGTGATCCCTCAACTACAGAAGATGCATCAGTAGAATCATATGGAGCTGAATCCAGAGTAAGAACAGCGGCAAAATCTGCAGCAGCAGATCTGACCAATCACATTAGATCATGTGCTGTTGGAAGGCAGGTTACCCACAGAGAAGGTCCTGGTCTAAATAACTATCCTCTGCATGCGGTTTTACAGCAAGTCCAGTACTAATGGAAGCATTGTGACATATAAAGCACATCCTGAGGAAGGCCGGGTGATCCAGTGACTGGTTACTGGTTTGTTTACGGACGCCCAGTTTAAAGAGCAAGTCGCCCCCAAATCAACTTAATTTTTCCTGATAAATGATATAAATGTGTGTCTAATTGTGCTGCAGACACGTGCACTTTAGTGCATTTTAGTAAAAGTTTTCATTTTCTACCTAAAACTGTCAGTGTTGTGCTGTTGTCAGGTAAAAACTCTGCACTGCATTTGAATTTAAATCTGCCATCGCTATTGGCTAAGAGGTGCCCTAGAACGTTAGCTGGTACCATATGATGTCACAATGTCGTTGTGAGCCTGTGTGCGTGTATTTGTTAGCGGCTCCGCCCTCTCGGTCTGCTAAGCAACAGCATTTGTTGCATTTTTCAAACAGGAAGTGGGAGTTGAGTAAGAATCTGGTAGGGGGTGACTTGCTCTTTAAGGAACAATGTGTGATGGTAGAATAAACGCAGGGCAAGCTGCAGATCGGCTCATCAGAGGCTTCTGGAGTTTGAGAATATGAAAGATCCAACATTTAAACATGATCATGAATATTTTCATTTTTATAAAAGATAGTTAGAAAATGAATACAGCTGTTAAACTTAATATCAGCAATAATAATAATAATTAGGCAAGGCAGCTTTGTTTACATCACACATTTCATGCAGAGGTGATTCGATGTGCTGTGTTAGTGTTTACAGACTGCAGAACAGCTCTAATCTACATTTTAGAGCTTTTCAAGCAAGCTTTATTTATACAGCTGTTCCTAACAATCTATTTTTACTCTATTACATAATGTTGGCAGAAATATTAAGGAGTTCCTATTAGAGCCCTGCGCGGGACTGTTTTCTTCATCCCGCTCCTGCCCGCTCCCGCTGAATTTCTGACCATTACCGCCCGCACCCGCAAAACTCGGAGAAATTATTACCTCACAATAAAAGAGATGTATTGAGTTTGTGTCCTCAACATGTCATTTTATAGTCTATACCAGGGATCGGCAACCCTCGGCTCTTCCATCCATCTCTCGGTGCTTGCAAAATAATGAATGGATATTTAAATAAAATGCTTTGTATTTTACTGAATTAATTTTATATCTATGTTGATTCTAAATGTAAAGATTGTCTGCGTAAACCTGAACAGTTCCAACCAGGTCTTAAGACCGGGTTGACGGGTCACGCTTATGCGTAATCATATCGGCGCTTTCTGAGTTGAAGAGGATGTGAGATTCTGGGACTCTCCTCAGACGGCTCCTGGATGTGTCGCCACATTGGAGACAGGAACAAGCGCTATTCAGCCAAAGTTTCATAATCAGGGAAATTTTTCTAAGTGACAAGTCTCTCTGAGAGACAGGGTTTGGAAAACACTCGCTTCATTGGGAGGAACCTTCCCGCATGCGCTCTGGTTATGTGACGCGCTCCAAGGCCCTCTCCACAACTTCAGCTCGCTGTGCACCTTACGTATACGTGCTGACAGCGAGCTGCGCTGAGCAGTGTCCAGCTCAGATGTTCAGATGGGAATCTTTTCTTGGGCGATTTAGCTACATCTGCGTCAGTTTGTATGCATGCTTCGGGGTAATTCTTTCTATTCTTTCTCCGTCAAAATAAACGGTCAAATACGGGAACTATCCGGTCAACACAACACAAGCCCTGCTTTTAACTGTTTTGTTTTCTTGTGAAAATTGTTGGAATGAGATAAAATTGAACTTGATTTCCACCAGAGCCGCGCACTGCGCCATTATCTCCGTGACTGTAAATGAGAGGAGAACAAATTGATCGGATCCTGCACATCTTTTAACACATTGGTCAGGATTGACGCACTTTGTTTTCATTTAGTTTTTAACCCTTTAATGCCGATGCGTCACCAGGATCACCGGTGACGCCTCGGCGCATTTGATTTCAAATAACTCCTCGCTACTTAAACTATAAAATTCTTTAAAAAAAACACATGAGCTACTGTGTGGTGCTTAAAGGGTTAATGAAGTCAAGGCTGTTTCATATTCTCTTCTCCTCTGTAATCAGGCAGTGATCGGGGTCGCTATTCTAAGAGAGACCTGAATGAGAAATATTAACACAATCGGAGAAACTCCTCCAAATGCCTGACTTGCCTAGCTTTGGTTTTTGTGTCATAAAGACCTTGTTTCAGCTTCTTTTCAACATCAGTTGCCGACTCCAGCATACTCATCCCGATCCCGCACTGTTTGTTTTAGCCGACCGTTCCCGCCCGCAGCAAAGTTCACACCGCCCGCCCCCGCAAGATTTGTGTTGGGTCCCGCGTGACCCGGCAGGACCCAATCCCGATGCAGCCCTCTAGTTCCTATTTGACTTGCTGCTGGTGGGGATATTTACATTTGGGGTCCAGTTCTGAGGACTGCTGTCTCACAGCTCTTTAGCCGTTTCAGATGACTCTGGAAGCTTTGTGCTAAACATCGTTAGCTTTGAGATGCGAGTTTATCATCGTCTGCACAAAGATGTGTTAGACGATCTAAAGCAGTAACGTCTAAATCCCAGGTTGTATTTAGCTAAAATCACAGAGCTACGGGTGTGGATAGTGGCTGCAGAGGCTCTTTTGCCCTCCAGCGTTGTGCGGATGTGTGTTATTACCAGGGGCTGCATGACTTTATTTTTTTTTAAGTCGACCGTCAAGTCATGAAAATCGAGTCGACTTCGACTAGTCGTTGACGTCATACACCTGAAGCGGCTAAAACTGACGATGGGAGACCAAGCGTTTTTTTCTGACGCACGGGGGGATCAGACATGGAATCGGGATTTGAGGACGTGGATTGTACAAAAACTAACTAATTTTTATTTGACTATTTTTCTGTCCTGCCTGTTTATTATCTTCCTGCATCTCCTCTCATTCTTTAAGAAAAACTGCTACCTGGGTTCATATATATTCACATCATGAGTTACCTTTGAACTGCAGTTCTAAAAGATCTACCGACCGCAAAAACAGCGGAGTGCGCGCCGGCTGCACCGGTGAGGTGCGTCACCGGTGGACAAAACAGGTGATGCGCTCCGCTCCACAGCAGCAAAACGCTTCAGGCACAAATAAAAGACAGAAAACATGAAAGGAAATGAGCCGACATGAACGATCGCGTGTTAAATTTGTTTTTGAGGTGGCGACACCTAATTTGATAATGTTACTGTGGCCGTGCTCAGGACGCAGATGTCTGGAGCGCGTCAACAATCAGAGCTTTGCATGTGCACACTGGTTAAGGTTAGGATGGGGGTGAGGGCAAGGTTAAATTGCAAGAGGGTAAACGTCACAATTTGGTTAAATGTCCGTTTTACGGCGGGTGTCAGATACCGACGCTCTGGCACAGCGCGTCGCCTCCCGACACACAGGGGCTCGTCACCTGCTGTCTTTTCCAGGACTGCATCTTGTCGGTCATTATCACGTGACAGCGACTAGTCGATGAAAGGCATAAAAAGTCACTACAGAGCAGTGAAGTCGACTAGTCGATACAACCCCTAGTTATTACCCGGATGTAAACAATAACATTCAAGGGTCTATAGGAAGTAAAGGTTATTTTTCCAAACTGAGGCCGTTCAAAATGGCCAAAATAACCTTATAGAATCTAAAAGCTTGGAATAAAACAATGTAAAAATGCATTTTTATAAATATTCTATATTGGTTTTGAAGAACTTAAAGATCCAGATTTAATAGAAATAATAAAAATATTATTTTACTGGATAAAGTTGGTGAATTTTCCATGGTGCCACTTTCTGTTGCTGTGAGCAGTTTTACATCCGGATCGAGGAGAATCTGCCTGAATACAACACCAGAGTCAGACTACCTGAGGCCCAACCGCTGGAGCTCTCCGATGACGGTGACACACACGCACACACACGCACACACACACGCACACACACACACACACACACACACACACACACACACACACACACACACAATCTAAATCTTTCTTTGTGTAAACAGCAGCTAAAAGGAGCGATGAAGACGAGCCGGGCGTCCTCTCACGTGAGGTTTTGAAGCGTCAGTCTCAGCTGATTGTTGATTCCAACTTGAAGAAGAAGACTTGGAAAAGGAAGAAGAGCAAGTTCTGGCCCAAAGAGGAGATCTAGAGTCAGGAACAAGATTCAGCTTGTGGAGAAAAGGACCCTGATATCATTTTAAACTTGTAGTCTTAGAAATGTTGGAAAGATTTTTTTGTGTCTTAACTTCATGTCTCTGTTTGTTTTGTCAACATTAACATTCTTCATCACGTGTTGCATCAACACAGCTTTTGTCACCTTGTTTTTTCCCACCCAGTGTTTCACCAACTGCCTCTCAGGTTTCAATAAAAAGGATCAGAACATCGCTCCTACGTTTTATTATCTTCACGCACCATTCATGTTCGGTTTCTGAGACGATCAAGTAACGTTTCCCCCAAGGTTTTTATCTTTATGCTTCTGAGCGAAACAAATCCACTGTAATGAGTTTCACCTTACACGCCAGATGCTTTACAGTTTCCAGTTTTCGGAAACGCAACACCTGTGACGTTTTCAGCCTTTATTTCAGATTAAAATACACCAAAGCTACAAAACTGTTCTTTGAGTTCAGATCTCCCCTCGCCCAGGGGAAACTCCGTCTTTAGTCGTCAGACTGCTTACAGCAGCAGAGACCGGAGGACCTGCAGAACGGAACCAGACTGACGACTTTTGGTTGTGAACAAAAGCGTTGATCCATATAGCAGAACAGGTAGAGGTGTTTCTGCCTTCTGGTGCTTTTGTACGAGACTTGGAACAGCAGCAGAACTCACGCTCTGTCCTGTTTCTAAGTTCACGTTTACTGATCTTTTGTTCCATATTGCCTTTCCGTGCCTCCTAATTGTGTTAGGGTGACAGTTTGAAGGCAATTTTATTAAATTATATTAATATAAAGTGGCTTTTAAAGGCTACCGCTAATATTTATTCAATGTTTTTCCACTAACACACCATTTCTAGTTGATTGGTTTTCTTTTTGCCGGGGTTAGGTACAAATAACATAAAAGCCACTCAAAACTTTTTATATCAATAAATTAACAAAATAAGACGCTAGACATAAATGATGGGTATGTTTTATCAATTATGTTTCACAGGAAAACCTTTTCCTCCGTGACCCTGCGTAGACAGGCGGGTATAGATGTCGGATGGATGGACGATAACACTTGTGATATATAGATATTTTGTCCATTAAGTGTATACAATTTTTAAGGAGAAAACATTTAGAAGAAATAAATATAAAAATGTGAAGTTAGTGTCGTTTACAAAACCCACTTTCCTGTTTTTTTCAGAGGATGAATGATGAAGGCATGAAAGACAAAAGAAAATGTCCAAATAACACGAAATATATTAGAGAATGTAAAGAAATGACAATAAGTAAATAAAACGTTTGGCTAAAATCAAACGTCATCAAATGTGGGTTAAAAAACTAAATTAAAGAGCAAGTCACCCCCAAATGAACTTGTTTTCCTGATAAACTATATAAATGTGTGTCTAATCGTGCTGCAGACACATGTAGTCAATAGTTTAGCACTTTAGTGCATTTTAGTTAAAATTTTAATTTTCTGCCTAAAACTGTCAGTGTTGTGCCGTTGTCAGGTAAAAACTGCAGTTGAATTAAAATCTGCCATCGCTATTGGCTAAGAGGTACCCTAGAACGTTAGCTGGTACCATATGATGTCACAATGTCGTTGTGAGCCTGTGTGTGTGTGTGTATTTGTTAGCGGCTCCACCCTCTCGGTCTGCTAGGCAACAGCATTTGTTCCATTTTTCAAACAGGAAGTGGGAGTGGAGTAATACTCTGTTAGGGGGTGACTTGCTCTTTAAATAGGATGTTACAGTTAAACATAAAATGCTAATATTAGTTATGCCATCTTCATATATGTGTATATTCTGAGCTACTACAGCAATCAATTTCCCTCTGGGATTAATAAAGTATTTTTGAATTGAATTGAATTTAGGAACTATTTATATCTGTCTGTTCCTAATTTGGACAGGCTAAGCTTGCCACACATATGAGCAAACTGCCTCAAATGACTGTTTGCTCAGCAAATTCCTCGCTGTGCACGTCTAATTTTTACTGACTTTTCTGCCTCACGAGACACTGAGGTGAAAATCTAACCGGTTTGATATTTTCCACCTCACAGGGGGTAAAAACTCACTGTGTGCGCACAATGTGAGCTGCCGGCTGAGCTGAAATATTCTAGTGCCAAATCAGAGCGCGTTTTCCGCTCACATGATTCCAAGATGGCAGCCCCCGTCTGCATGTTAGAAAATTAAATGGAAACAGAGCTGGAAATGGAGGCAAAAAAATAATAATCAAACCAGTTAGATTTCACCTCAGCAGTAAAGGTCAGCAGTTTGCTCTTGTACGCGGCAAGCTTAAAGAGCAAGTCACCCCCTACCAGAGTATTACTCAACTCTCACTTCCTGTTTGAAAAATGCAACAAATTTTGTTGCCTAGCAGACCGAGAGGGCGGAGATGCCAACAAATACACACACAGGCTCACAACGACATTGTGACATCATATGGCACCAGCTAACGTTCTAGGGTACCTCTTAGCCAATAGCGATGGCAGATTTAAATTCAACTGCAATTTTTACCTGACTACGGCACAACACTGACAGTTTTAGGCAGAAAATTAAAATTTTAACTAAAATGCACTAAAGTGCTAAACTATTGACTACACGTGTCTGCAGCACGATTAGACACACATTTATATAGTTTATCAGAAAAAGGTGATTTGGGGTGACTTACTCTTTAAGGCAATAATCCACTTTAGATTTGTCTGTATTCAAATTAGCTGTTAGCATATTAGTCCCGTTGAATATAAAAGCTATTTCTATGAACTGAGGCCATTCAAAATGGCCAAATTTAAGTGTGGGGGTGGGAGAGACTGACAAAATTAAAATGGATTTTATAAAACTATTTTTGTCCAACTGACATCAAAAGTAAAACTAGAACTGCAAGCAGTTATGAACGGGTTCCAAGCCACCAGCGCCAGTCGCCCACCCGCCCCCGCCCTCAACTTCCCCACTCCTCACGCAGCCCCGCCCCAAAGACACGTTCTCCCGCCGGCGTCCCGTCCTATTTTTAGGGTGCAACGAGACTGTTTTTCAGCCCTCTTTCTGAGGTGGTCTGCTTCAGGCTGACCAGGGCCAACACTCCCCCTGCTGACAGCATATTCACACCTTCCACTAGAGCAAGCCTCTGATTGGTGGGTAGGATCAATCCACATGAGCTTATGGCATGCTCAATTCATTCTCATTCATTATCATGCTGATTACCTAGAACCTAAAAATGTCTCTGACTGCATTTCTTGCATACCTAAGCAAGGATGTGTGGAATCAACCGGGCCAAGCTGGGGCCATCTGGAGCTATCTGGGCAGGGTCGACCAGGTACATATGGGAATGTTTCTAAAAGGTTGAAGGATCGATCCCAACTCTGACCAGAATGTGACATAAGCTCCAGCCTACCCAGTTAACACAACCTCAAAATCTTAGCCTCTTACATGCAAATAATGATTTTTAGGAAATTTTTCAAATTTGAAATTTTAAATGATCATAAACCACGTCCACTTTGATCAATCATTACCATATTGATAATGTAGTCTTACGACTCTATAATAATGACAACCACTAAGTTTCGTGCAGATCCATTTAGCCAGTTCAGCAGTATAATTTCTTCCTATTTATAGCGCCCCCTATTGTTGAATCAAGCTGAAAATCAAGATATCCACTTGAATTGACCTCAGGTATGGTGGTTATGAATAGCTTTGAAAAACGTCAAAATCTTTTGAAGTTATGCTAAAAAAACAGTTTCATTCCCCAAAAATTATTTTAAAAAATCATATAAAAACAAATAAGCAAAATATCCAAAATCCCTTCACATCGTTTGGTCAGCCGCTCCTCCTCTCTTGTCAGGGAAAGTAGTGATGTGCTTGTGTTGGACGGCCGGGAGGAGTTAACGAAAATACGTTTGACTTACTATGCAAATTTCTACTAATTAGCATAAGTTTAAATTATTTTTTTTTTAAATACTCATCTAAATTTGACTGAATCAATGAACATAATGGATGAGACCATTTGTTTTTTTACGAATGTAATGGGGAGAAACATACCATAAACATTTTTGGGGTACAACAGCGCCATCTATTGGATAAAATTCTAATTTTTTTCTGTGGTTGTAGATGTCACTATGACTGATTTGATTTGTAACTTTCTGTACAGAATATATATTTTTCATGAGTAAAAGGGCGAAAACTTTTAAAGCCTATTTATAGCCTATAAGCCATGCCCACTTTTTAATCATTTTCAAAATATAGCTTAAGGGTCCAATGATAAACATATCTGCCAAGTTTTGTGGAAATCCATCAAGCCGTTTTGCTGAAACAAACTTTTTGAATCTTTAGCGCCCCCTATTGGTGAATCCAAACAAAATTGCGTAGATAGGGTTTACCGCTCATACTTTGTAAGGGCCTAGAGTCTCATCATTTTATCTTGAAAATTGTTGAAGATATAATCAATTAGGACATGTGCTAGCTAGCGCACTGAATTTGACATGGTGTCATTAACCCAATTTTCAGTAATTCCGCGTTTTTCTTCATCACAATAACTTCTCTTCCTCCATAGATCATATGTTCAAACGTTGAAGTTGATTCGACGAAAATTGACGAATAGGTGATTAAAACTAAGTTTTGCGTTTTTTGAGATCTAGCAAAAAATCTAGTTAGGCGGAAATGGGCGTGGCCAATACAAAAAAGATGCAGAATCATCCAAGGATCATATCCATATAAAGTTTTTTTGACTGTAGGGCCTATGGTTTGGGAGCTAGTAGCTCAAACGTATTCACCTCCGCAATAGCGCCACCTAGGTGCCTCGGGGTCCAAATTTTCGAACCTGAGTAGCGGTCAGGATTTTCTATCAGACTGCCATATCAGATTTTTCCTGGCAATTTCAGGCTCTTGCCCCCATACAGTATTAGCGGAGAAGAAGAATAATGAAAAATCCGTAGAAAAACAATAGGGTTCCAATGCCCTTTGGGCTTGGAACCCTAAAACAATAGGGTTCCAAATAAATGAATAGAAAACTTAAATAAACTTAATATAAAAGTAGAGAAACGCCATTTCATGGTGATTAAATTAATTAACATACAACTGACTGATTACATACTTGACATACAAACAATTATATTAAAATATACAAGAAAAATCCAGCTTTTTGAAATAAAACCAGAAAACCCTTGTAAAACTTGTCGATCAGCATGACGTCAGATAGCTCGTGTCGGTTTCTGATCAGCCAATCAGAGAGGGGGACCCGTGGTCTTCCTGCTTCCAGTTTGGTTTGTTTCTCTGAACTAACCTGCTAAAACAGACTCAGACATGTTTCAGGTCAAATCCTGCGCTTTCTGAGAAATGCGCTTTTAACCCGCTCCAGGTAAGACGCAACAATTATCACGCTAATTTCTGCACTTTTTGCGCATTTATTCCTCCAAACTGAAACGTCCAAATCACAGCTTCATGTCTGAAAAAGTAAAAAAGAGTGAATGAGGTCAGAGAGTTTGTGTGTTTAGTTTCACAGAGCCGTGCGGTGAACCGGAAGGATCTGATTCTTCATGCAAATGAGCCACAATTTAACATATTATAGCTGAACAAGGAGGAGGCAATTCCCACAAACACACACACACACACACACTCACACACACTCATGCACATGGCATCATCCACCCACCCACACACACACTCTCACTGAGAGAACAATCAGTGTTCAGAGATAAATGCCAGATTATCTTCCTCCAAGCTTCACTCTGACTCTGGTGGAGGAAAAGGAGCTCTTCGGATTTATCAAGAACTAACAGTTAAGTGGCTGCTTGTTTTTATTTATTTATTTATTTATTTATTAAGCTTGTGTGTATTTTTACTCTTTAATCAGGATTTTTTTTATATGTAACTATGAATTTTATTCATATCAGGATTTTGAGGGCATGTTTATAATCTGGGCTGAATTCTACATTATAGATTTCAGTTTTTATTGACAGTTATTGATGTTTTGTGGTCATCATGTAATATTACTGAGCATGTCCACGCCAGCAAACTTGGGCTGCATTTATGGATTTAATACATTTACACTGTTTAGATCCAAACCCCCGATAGACCTATAGGTGTGATCGCTCATGATCACTTTTTGAGGATTTAATCTCCTTTTTACCTGCAAGCTGCAGAAATAAGATGATTTAAACAAATCTGAATGTTATCATCTTCTCCCTCCTGGTAAAGATGAGGCAGCAGGAGTCGTGTGTGAGCTCGTAGCGTGATCGACACGGAGCAGGAGATGAGGACTGTTCTTCCTCTGTGTGGAGGCAGTGGTGATGATGAAGAGGAGGAACCCCGTAGCCGCCATCGCAGCAGGGTGGGCTGGATGAAGAGGCTCCTCTGGATCAGGTCCAGTCAATGCGGGAGCGTCCACACCGACACGGAGCCTGGCGTGTGGCTCAGAAGCTTCCAGTCTTTGGACACTGATGGACGAAAAGAGGTGAGCTGGAGGTCAGGCTTCTGCCAGATGTCAACCTTTTTGTTCATTTGGTGTCATTTTTTATGTTTATGTTTATTTATTTAGCAGACGCTTTTATCCAAAGCGACTTACAATTTATAACCTATAGGGCATTTTTTAAACGTTCTGCCTGGGAAATGTCACGAGAAGTGAAAGTTTCAACACACTTTGAATATCTTCTCATTCTGGAGACATTGCTGGCAACAGTAAAGGGTCACCTGCATCAATACTGTTCATTAGCTGCCAATATTCAACATTATTGGATTAATCAGTGATTGAACAATCTAGAACTCCAAATTCTTTTCCACTTGTCTGTGAATGCATCATCACCAAGCAGCCACAAAGGAAATCCAACATTATTCCCTGTCTGTGAACTCACCATCGCTAATTTTTACTAGCAAAAGCAGCTCTTCTTTCTGGAGGTTCTTATTTACATAATCGTAGTTTTTTTTGACGATCTTTTTTTTTTTTTACAAATTTGTATAACTTTTATAAATATTTTGTAAATTCTAATGATTTAAGATGAATTGAAATCAGCCTAACGCCTCATTCACACTGAGTGCAGAACGGCTGAATGTCTCCCACGAGAACACTAAATGGTTAAAAATGTACATAATGTGTTTACAGACATACTTGTAAAAAATGTATGTGAACTGATATTTATGTCATTAATAATAATTAAAAAAAACAGATCAGGAAAATAAGCAACACAGGTTTTATTTTGAAATGAACCGGACTCACCTCCCTGAAACACATCTCACTTCCTGTCTGGCTCACATAAATACTTTTTAACTTGATGAAAATCCACATGCGGCGTCCGGGTCAAATACAGGTGAAACTGGAAAATAAAATGGGTTTAAAAGTCTGTTTATTTCCTTAAGTCAACGTAAACGGGTCTTTGCGGAAGGCGTATGGAGTCCTGACCGCATCTGTTTCGTATTCGGTGTGAACGCCGGGATCGGCAGCTCGGAGCTGTAGTGGAATCGGTATCTGTTATCAGCTGTCTAACCCAGAATCAGTGCATCTTTAACTGTTTAGGCATCTGCGAGTTACAGAATCAGGGTTGAGTCGGGTGTTTTGGGAATTACAACGCGCATCTGGGCTCAGAATGAACACCGTGCAGAAGATTCTCCAGGAAGTGTTTTCTAAAAGGAATCTCAAGAGGAAATTCTAACACGGTGTGACGTCATTGTGCAGTCATGCCTCTGTTTGTTTGCCTGCCAGCTCGTCATCCATTCATGCGACTAATTCCAACTAATTGAGGTTTCTCGTGCTGCTCTTCCTTTTGTTTGGGCTTTGTCGAAATGCTGTAGAAACCTCAAACGACGCAATCTTGTTAGACAAACAAAACGTTCATTCTTTCCTTTAGACCTGGTGAGCTGAATGAAAACATTTGTTCCGCTTACGCCAGCGTTTTGCTTTACCGTTTACTGCATGGGGTGATATTTTTTTTACAGAAAGTTGTAGATTTGAACCTTACTTCCTCTTGTTGTCCTTCTTTGGCACCTTGAACGAGTCGTTTTGTTTTAAATCAGAACATTTCATCCTAGACCTCCTGAGGCTAAGAGGCAGGAACACGTGAAGTCATGAGGGGAAACATCCTGATCTTAGAGCATTGCTCAGTTCTCCAGGGAATTGTGTTTGAACATAATATTCCTGCTGTTGTAAAAACTAATGATGAAACATATCCACTAAAGCAGTAGCTTCTTTACACGTCTACTCATAATTTACTGTTGCACAGGGACATAAATGTGTCAGAGAAAGCCGTTATAGTTTTACTCCCATGAAGGCACATTGACAATAAGACTTCCTGTTTTTAATGGGAGGATAAATAAATTATAATATATAACATGCTGTTATCAGTGGAAAAAACTTCTGTAATCAGCAGCTTTAAGAAGCAAAGAAACACTGAGTAGTGTAGAGGAAATATTTTCTGTTTGGGCAGGTTTTTATAGGAATGGCACTAAATTTGGACGTAAAGAGTAAAGCTTTACAAACATTATCAAACACGTTTCTCCTCCTCCGATATTATTGTGGAGAACCTCGCACACCAGTGGTGTTCTGCTGCTGAATCTGTGTAAAGAGTGGAGGACCCAGGGAAGCGTGGCGGTTAGGTGAGACCGACGACCGGATGGTCCGATGGTGGCTTTCGGTACGAGCCGTGTTATTGATGGAGGTTTTTAGATAAATGCAATAAGAGACTTAAATAGATTTAAAATTTCCCCACAAATTTGTTTAAATGGAAAAACACAAATGGCTTGTTTTACTTTTAATAAAATCACATTTTTAATATTCATTTAGTTCAAAAGTAAATAACGTGTCTGCAATAATTATTCTGACCTGAAATATAATTAGTTTATATGTCAGGAATATCTTGATTTTGTTTTAATTCTCTTGTATTTCTGATATAAATATTTCTTCTAGTAGGTTTTACAGAACAGAGTATGCTGACATAAATAAAGCTAGTTTAATAAGTAAGTCGATACATTAGGTAAATATTAAATAAATCAGCAAAAGAAGCAGTAGTAATACTTTGTTTATTTCCTAGTTCTACTGGGTTTATACTACTGTTACTCTGGAGTTCATATATTTTATATTGTACTGTTGGTATTTATATATGTGTACTAAAGCTGCTGGTGGTGTTTTTAAACCATAAACAAGTACAAGCAGTGTTGTAAATAAAAACAGCTCGACATTTAAAACCTCCTACAATCACTTCCGCTCTCTATTTTTCCTCGAACCTCATTGGCCAGCCGCCTTCTTAGCCCCGCCCACGCGCTCTTCTCTGCCTGCGTCCGCTCCAGTCCTGACTCAGTCACAGCCCGCCGCGATGAGAAAGTGAAGTTTTTACCGCCGCAGCTCTAACATGGAAGCTTCAGGCTTGTTTTTACTGAACTCTCAGAGGTAACAGCGAGTTTTTAAATTAGCCAAGTCACGACAGGAGTCAAGCTAACCGGATTTATTCACACCGAGCCGGTAGAAAGATGGGCAAATGGCAGTTATCCATGGTAAGTTAAAAGATCCGCAGTAAACATCTCCGTTCACCGGGATCTGACCCTTCCGCTCTCTGGTGTCTCCCTCGTCCGTCAACTGTTTATTTCGGGTAGTCACACATGTTCTCTAACACGTCTCCACATGCAGACAGCAGCTCACGCGTGTAAATTATGGGATTATTGGCTCATTTTATGTTGCTGCAAGTCTCAGATTTAGCACTAACTATCACACCGGGTGCAGAATTATCCCTATGAGCTTTTTCTAAGTGCAAAAAAATCAATCATATTGTTCGAAAAGGTGTTGTTTTGGGGTGGGACATGCATGTAAAATAGTTGCTGCTCCCTTTGTAACGCTGAGCTGTCATTAAAGCTGCACAGGTGTGTTTCTATGAAGGTTCCAGTAACATTCAGAGCAGTTGACGTGTTTTATTCGTATTTAAAGACAAAATCCTACGTATGAACCGGTAATCTAGTGGTCATTTACAGTTAATCTTGAATAATTAACAATATAAAAATGCAGTTTTTGATGAATATTTAGTATTTAAGATATGTGATGTTAATAATGAATCTATAACAACCATTAGAAGATGTAAAATTGTTTTATTGTTTCTGAGCGTTTTCTCCGCTGCAAGTTTGAGAAGCAGGATTACGTTTATTACCAGGGTGTTCAGTTTGAGCTTCCGTGGTTTGGTGCGTCTGCTGAGCCCTGAAACAGGTTTTAGTCATCAATAAAAACACAATCCCTAAAAAGCAGCAGCAAGAAGATCAATGTTCAACACAACAAATCATTTCTGCCAACAGGTGGAAACGGAAGAGTGGAGGACAAACTTCCCTTTCCTTTAATGAAGTTCAGTTATGTCTTTAAATATAAAGACATAAATCTTTGTTGGACTGACTCACGGTTCATTTATTTTCCTTCGTCTCTGAGAGCATAAACAATCGTGTCAGCGAATGCTTCATAACGCAGTCATCGTTTCATCCTGTCACCAGGAGTCTATTTATAACGAGTCAGAGTATGTCAGGTATGCAAGCTCGGTTTCACCTTTTGGTGTGCTTTTATTTTGAAAGCATTGAGGCGTTTTAGCAGCAATGGTGCTGAAGCGTGAGAAAACTGTTGGGTTTCTGCAGCGTCACAAATCTTCTCTTCCTGCAGGATCCTGTGCAAGAGTGGGGCGAGGAGGAGGAGGACAGCGCCGTGTTCGGCATCACCCTGCACCGGGAACCCGTCCTGCAGAATCCAGACTCAGCCGACCCCTCGCCGGCCTACAGCTGCGTCCAGTACCACACCGTGAAGGTGCGCAGGCTGAAAGCCGGTACCCTGGAACGCCTGGTTGTCCACCTGCTGGACCCGGAGCGCCGGGAGTCCGACTTCATCCACGTGTTCCTCTCCACCTACAAGGCCTTCACCGCCAGCAGCACCCTCATCGAGCTGCTGTTCAAGAGGTGAGGCGACCTGGACTTTAGCTGAACTCAGACGTGTTTTAGCAGAAATCAGGGCTTCTGCTGACGGGCCCGCATGACATCGTCGTCCCGGTTTAACACGAAACCTTTAGATATTTTGTGCAACTTTCTGTTTCGGTTGGGAATGTACTCCGTCGGTTCCAGCAGATCTTATTTGATGATTTTTGGTCGTTAACCAGTTAAAGTTCGATTTAAACTCTTACGTACTCTGAAGTATTTACCTCCTAAGTGTTTCTGATTTGTTATGCCGACACGTCAGGCGGATACAGATGTGGTTTGTGCGTCAGCTGCTTTTATGACCTGCCAGATGCACACATCAGCGTTTATCTGAGCTGGCGTTTTAATGCCACCAGCTGTTGCCTGAACAAACCTGTGCTGACGCCTGGCAGGTTTCTATGACAAGTTTTGTTGTCACGAACTAGACAAAGCAGCCCGGAGCTTTGTTTCTTTGTGAGGATCTCGTTCCCACACCCTCCACGCCCAGCAGCCGAGCTTTAACGCGCACCTGATTTAGTTCGGCTCAGGAATTCCCCGCAGGGAGCAAATCATTCTGGTTTTGATGGCATGAAGAGGGTGAAAATTCGTACACGTAAATACAATTAATTGGAACTCGTGCGACTCGTAGTTGTGAATCGGTAAACTGATTTAGTGTTTGTCAAACCGTTGTCCTCGTGTGTGTGAAGGGCTGGTGGCAGCAGGTTCCCCTCGCTCCAGGTTGGGTCATGGCGGCTTTGCTCTGCAGGATTTTGGACAGGATTTTGCATTTTATTACTCTCATTAACTTATATAACCATTGTTCTGCAGCCGTGCTGTGTTTTGTCGCTGAGTTGGACCCTAACTTATCAGGATCCCGTGGTAGAGCTGCATCGGTTTGGCGCCAGGCTTCACTTTTACTGCATGTGCGTTTTATCGTGTAACCAGTGGTGGTTTTACCATTAGGCATAGGTCGGCGGCCGCCGGGGGCCCCCTAGTGGTGGGGGCCCCCTAGCCCTGACCGCCATTACCCCTCTGTTAATGCCACAATATTCATATTACCAACCTGTGGCCGCAGACAGGATTGGACATGCGCACTTCTCATTACCATAATTCCTGAACCATTCAAGATATCATTAAAATTCCAAAAGTGCTGAAAAGATTAAAAATGGGGCTTTTCGAGCATATACAATACATTACGGTAGCCGCCGGGATTCCCTGTCTTGAGCGCAACGAATCACAACACAAATTCAGAGACGTGCTGAGTTTGTCATCCAAAATGCTCCGTTTTATAACTTTTGAATGGCTGATCAGATTCAAAAAATTCCAACGGTTCCTAAAAGTACATAAAAGCAGCTTTCCAATGGTCTATAGCATGAAGCAATCAGAGTTATGGAAATCCTGCTGTACAGCCTGATTGAAACGGAGCGCAGTGCCGTGGTGAAAGCAGATAACGGAACGGGGAAGCTAATTAGCATAAAACGCCGGCATGAAATTATGGAAATGCCTCAAAGAAAATCAACACGATCTATTAGGTGTCCCAGAAGGCTTATATCTGAAGACAGTGACCACGAAGGACAGATCTCCAGTGAACCAGGGTATGAACGTTTGTTCAGTCTTTGTTTTATTGTTTTATTTGAACAACCCTCAACTATTTGCTAATTGTAAGATTCAGCTTCATTCCAGCATTATTTATCTTTTTACAATAAATTATTATTTTTGCTAAAACAAAAGTTTTTGGTATAGCAGTGCACGGTGTGCCAGAGAAGCACCCCATGGCGGTATGAGGTGTGAGGACTCTGCCTGCAGCTGGAGAGAAACTGCTTCAAGGTCTACCACATCAAATAAAAACGTCTGAAAGTTTACAAAAATAAATGGTCTTAAAACTGCTAAAAAAAGATACCAAGGTTCACACTTTTTTAAGAATAGATGCATTACAGTTCAAAGTTTAAATTGTTTGCCCAGAAATTTTGAAGTTCCTGTTCAGTAATAAATGTAAACAATTCAAATCCGTTTTTTGCTTTTTTCACTTTTAAGCAGATTTTTTAAAAGGCTTTAATAGAAATAAATTCTAAATACAAACCATTCACTGAAAGCTGAGGTTGTTCTGAAAAAAGGAGAAGAGTTACACACACTTTGTGCTTTTTATTACAATTTTACAGCCATAAGATTAAAAATACCAGACGGCTCTGTTATAATTATGGTCATAAGAGGGTTATTAAGACGGCGATGCACAAACTGGAAGTGGTTGGAAGTCATTCCACTCCAGTCCAGTTGGTGGCGGTAATGCACCAAATTGTTGTTTGCCAAGTGCCATAAGACCACAAATAAGAAGAAGAGAGGCAGGGGCGTTCGTAACAAACTCAAAGCGATAATGAAAACATGAAGCATGACATGGAGTTATCCTAGTGCAGTGGTTCCCAAACTTATTTAGCCGCGCACCCCCTTCTATGTCCCGACCATGTCGACGCCCCCCCCCCCCCCCCCCAGCCCCCACATCGGGGCATGGCTCTCTCTCTCTCTCTCTCTCTCTCTCTCTCTCTCTCTCTCTATATATATATATATATATATATATATCAGATGTCAAGCTAAACAGACAGGGTTAAAAAAATTCCCCATCACTTTCATTTTTTAAATAGTAATTAATAAGCATTCGATACCATTACAATTTCCTTTGATTTCATTTTGAATAAATATTTAGAGTGCCCAGGTAGCACATAAACAATGCAATTTAACGGTTTTCTTAAAGTAGGAACGTTTAACCTGTGCGGCCAGAGCGCTCTCCTTCCTTCTGCTCTGCGTAAACCTGAGCTGATCACCTACTTGTGCGTAATCAAATGTCAATAGGGGACAAGATATAGCCATGATGTTCACTTTTACCTCAGACCGACTTATTGCTGTTTTATGGTGTGGCTGAATCTGCGATCCGCTGTCATGCGGACTGGAATAACAAATGCTGCAGTGGACTTGTGGTCAGGTTCATGAGGAGTCACTGGCTGGAGCGGACCCGACTCATCCCAGAAGCTAATATCTTAATTTGACCTTGAATGAAAAATAACCTCTTAAAAGTTTTTATCACGGTGGAGGCAGCGTTCATTTCTGCCTTCAGTCTGACGGCGGGCCGGAGTTAAAGCAGCGTGTGCGCTTATTGAATCTGTGTGTGTGTGTGTGCGCGCGCACGTGCGCGCGGCACAGCTGCTCAAATTACCGCGTCTCGCGCTATTTAAACCAATGTTGTAAAATTCCTTCTGCCCAGCCCAGATGTGCTCACTTGTGCACCCGTGAGCCGTGGTTCAGCCGGAACGTGTCTGACCTCTGACAGACGCACTCTGAACTTCAGATCTTCAGGGCGCTGTCAATAGCCTGAATGGGAATCATTTCTTGTTATTTAGTTACATCCACAATGTTCTGTGTGTGAGGTTTACAACGTCAGAACACCTGCATGAGACAGGTGTTAATTACAATCTGCCAGAATGACTCACCACCTTCAGATTTCTCCAACACCGTTAAAAATGATCAAATACGGAACATATCGGCGTGCGCAGGCCAGAGTGCTGAAGCTCAGCGCATTGTTATTATGAAGCTAGGGCACATGTGGAGGACACACGCGCGCGCAAAAATGTACTTGTTTTCAATTACATTTATTGTGCCCACTTACTTTTTCTTTGGCCCACCCACAAATGAGTTTCTACGCTAATGGTGACATATGACAGACTTCTCTGAGCTCCGCAGCCATTACACTTTTCACCTCGCGCACCCCCTAGCGGCAGCTCGCGCACCCCTAGGGGTGCGTGCACCACACTTTGGGAATCCCTGTCCTAGTGGCTCCAGTAAGAGAAAGAAGCAGCTTGCTTCATAAAAGCTTTAATTTTCACTTCTGAAAGTGACGTCGTTTTTCGATGTAAACGTCAAAAGGAAGCAGAAAGGAAAGACAATGGAAAATGTTTAAAGGGAGGAAAACCTAGACCAAAATGGAAAAAAGAATAAAACAAACAAAGGCAAAAGCACAGGAGCACTGACAGGAAGAAGAAAGCAGAGCAAATATTGAAAGCGCTCAAAGGGAGGGAAATACAGGGAAAAAGAGGAGGACTAATAAAAAGGGGAAATAACTCGTGTCAGAAGAGGGGAGAGTTTCGCAAATCCAGTCAAAGGTAAGATTTTCGAAAATTGAGTGTAAGGGGCCCCATGTCTGTGTTCGCCTTGGGCCCCCAAATTGCTAAATCCGCCCCTGCGTGTAATTATTCGCCCCAGAGGAAGGCGTCTGTGTGTTTACGCTCCTCACCAAGGCCGGCGCGTTGCAGGACATTTCCACAGGATGCTCGGTCAGGGCGCTGTTCGCAGGTTTCTTTCTGCCGTCCCGTTGTTCCCCTCTGCTCTGATTTACTGTTCGGCTGTCATGTGACGTCGTTTCCTTTTTCCTCCGCAGAGACGACTCCCTCACCGACCCGGACAACTCCGTCAGCCTTCACAGGTGAGTCCGCGTCCAGCTTGGTGGAGCGAAACGGGAACTTCTGTCATCAGTTAATTTCCTCTGCTGTGCCCCTCAGTCCCTTAGTCTCGCTGGTGCAGCTGTGGCTGGAGGAGTACAGCGAGGACTTCCGAGAGCCCCCTCAGTACCCCACCCTTGGGCTCTTGTGCGCCTACATGCGTCGTCGCATCCGTTTCAGAAGAGTGCTTCATATTGCTGAAACGTTGCTCAAAAGACTTCAGGAACAAGGTGCGTGAGTAAAACATCAGCTGATCTCCATCCGGTTGTGTTTGAGGCTTTATGCACCGTCCACATGCCCAGATGACCCGATCTGCACGTTGATTGGATTTAGACTGTTGGGATTATCAGATGTGATCAGGATTTCTGAACTGAAACGAGTTTCTTTAGTTGCAGAAAAGCTGGTATGGGTTCCCGACGCCTGTTCTCATGTCACTTATGTCCTGATTCGACAGGTTCCCGCCTGTCTGCATCAGAACATCACAGCGAATCGTTGGCGAACAGCGATCCGGTGGACGGAGGAGGAATCTGCACGAAGCCGGACAAATCCAACTTCGTGGACTTCTCTGCTAAGGAAGTGGCCGAGCAGCTGACCCGACTGGACGCTGTAGGTTGAGATTTTCGGTTCTCTGAAACATATTTGTGATTTCACTTCCTCTAACTGTGTTTTTTCTTCCCCTCCTTCAGGAGCTGTTTGTCAAAGTGGTGCCCTTCGACTGCCTGGGCTGCATCTGGTCCCAGCGGGACAAGAAGGAAAACCGGAATCTGGCACCGACCGTCCGAGCCACCATCTCCCAGTTTAACGCCGTCACCAACCGTGTCATCACCTCTCTCCTCTGCCCACTGTCACCCAGCCCCTCCACTTCCTCTCCCATCTCGTCACCCTGCTCCGCTCCCACCTTCCTGTACCCCTCGTCGGCCCCGAGCTCGCCCCGCTGCTCGCACGCCAGCCCTGTCCACCGAGCACGCATCATCGAGAGGTGGATCGCCATCGCACAGGTCCGGATTTCAAAGCACTCCGTGAATCTCCTCAAAATCAGACGTTAACAGCTGTTGGTCTCCACAGGAGTGCAGGCAGCTGAAGAACTTCTCCTCCTTAAGAGCCATCCTTTCAGCCCTGCAGTCCAACGCCGTGTACCGCCTTAAGAAGACCTGGGCGGCTGTGAGCAGGTGAGACCACGTTATTTGAGTTATGTGATCTGATTTTATAGTGAATAAAAGTGTTCTGATGTTTCCCGTTTCAGAGAGAGCACCAACACCTTTGACCAGCTGTGTGAGACTTTTCCTGACGAGAACTGTGTGCTGACCAGCAGAGGGGTCCTAGTGGAGGTGAGCACACCTGCTTCCTACCAGGAAGTAGACACAAGGCCGCAGGAATGCCCCGTTATTCACTTTATGTGAAACCAAAGAAGGAGAAACGCTAACGTAGGTTTTGGGAAAGCGGTGCTAAATGTGCCGGAGCTTTTCTTTGTCATCGCTGTAAAAAAAGCACAAACACCAACCAGTGTTTGTTTCTTGAAACGCGACTCCTGCTCTATTATTCTTACGGGGACACCTGCTTCTCACGCGAGTCTCTGCTTTTGTCCTGCTAACAGCTGTTCTCCAAATGTCCGACACCCAGCAGCAAGTTAATCCTGAAGAAACTTCCAGCTGAACCTGCTTTGGGAATAGGAGCCTGGACCGGTTTGATGGGAGGGCAAAGGTGTCAGGAACAAGTGTGACGGGTCTCCTGGTTGGATTCGGTTAAACCAAACTGACTTCAGGGGTTGAAGATGTTATCCCGAGTGCAAAAGGAATGTAAAGATATGCCTCCCAATTCATGCGCCACAGAAAAAGCTGCCATTCTCCTGAGATAAATGCACGTTTTTGTGACTTTCTACTCCAGAAACAAGTTTTTTTATTGTATATTGTAACAAAACTGAGCTAGTCCTGGCCGGATTCGCTTCCACTGTGTGTTTCTGTTCCGAGTCTGGTGAAAACACCCGATATGAGCGTTTGTTCAGTGAAAGTGTTTATCAGCAGTTCCAATTTCTGCCAAAGACAGAAGTTGATTGTTGGCTCTGGCAGGAATTCTTCAGCGCCGGTCACGTTGCTTTTGTCTACACGTGGTGACGGAGCTGAACCCTGCAGGAAACAGTGATATAACTCCTCTGCTTGCCGTCATCCCACTTTAACGCCCTGAATTAGATTGGTTGTGTTCCATCGTCGCTAACGTGATGTCCTCCTCCTCTCTGCAGGATGGGAGTCACCCCGAGGGCAGCGCCGCACAGAGTTATAAATCAGCCAGAGTCTGCTCAGAGTCCAGACACATGGTGAGAGGAAACTTCTGCGTGGAAATCACCTTTCACTTCCTTCACTTGACCACTAAAATAAAAGGCCCGTGTCAGCGGGTAGAAAAGGGAGGCGTGTTGCAGCGTTTCCCTGGATTAAAGCAGAACGGATGATGTGTGAAATAATCTATAAACTTTGCACAAATGAGGAACTTTTCTGTTGATTTCTGCAGATGCTAAGAAACAACCACAAAACAATTTCAGTTTTATTGCAACCACTTGATGTTAATAGGAGTTTCCCCATAAAAACGTGAACGTTAGAAATACAGTTTTTCCTTTCCTCCCCAGAGCTTCAGCAGCGGCATCGTGCCGTACCTGGGCACTTACTTGACCGTCCTCACCATGCTGGACACTGCGCTGACCGACTCTGTGGAGGTCAGTTCTTTATTTCATCCTCTTTATTCAGGGTATCCGCAGGTCCTTGAAAAGTCTTAAATTTGCTTTTCCAAATTTAAGGCCTTAAAAATCCTTAAAAATGACAAATAATCCTTAAAGAGCAAGTCACCCCCTGCCAGATTCTTACTCAACTCCCACTTCCTGTTTGAAAAATGCAACAAATGCTGTTGCCTAGCAGACCGAGAGGGTGGAGCCGCTAACAAATACACACACTCACAACATTGTGACATCATAATCTACCATCCATCATCATAGTGTACCTCTTAGGCAATAGCGATGGCAGATTTAAATTCAAATGCAGTGCAGAGTTTTTGCCTGACGACGGTGCATCGCTGACTGAATTTTAACTGAGATGCACTAAAGTGCTGAATTATTGACTACATTTGTCTACAGCATAATCAGACACTCATTTATATAGTTTATCAGCAAAAAAATTGTTGATTTGGAGTGACTTGCTCTTTAGATACAGTTTCCAAAGGTCTTAAATGACCAAAGACCCAATAAACTAGATTATTTTATTTCTATGACATTTTCTTGAATTTCTAGTTAGCGTTCTGCATTTTTTTTGTGTGATGTTGGCGTAAGCGGAACTGTACACATTCAGCTGGTTGTGAAAGGGGGCTATTTTTAGATGAGCACATTAGCTGGTTAAGCTAGCGGGAGCTTGCGCCATGGGGAAGTGCAAGTTTAATGGTAACTGGATGGCTAATCCCACGTTTTATTGCTTAAATTAAATTTAAAAAATAGCTTAAATTTGGTCAAAGTGGCCTTAAAAAAGGTCTTAAAAAGTCTTAAACGTGACTCCCTTAAACCTGCAGATACCCTGTTTATGGTTTTCAGCAGATTTTTAACTTCATTTAACGAACATTATCTCCTTTTGTTGGTTTTTCCCAGGGCGGTCTGATCAACTTTGAGAAGCGCAGACGGGTAAGTGCTGCCATCTGGTGGTTCTTTATCAGTACCGCCATTTTAAGACCTTTTTTCACGAGTTAACCTATTTTATTAATCCTCTTTTATTACAGGAGTGTGAGATTCTCTCCCAGATACAACAGCTTCAGACGTTTTGTTCCCGTTACGACCTTCCGGTTAACGCTTCCATCACTGCCTGGCTGCAGGCCCACACCCAGCTCACCGACCAGGAGAGGTAAACACCGTCTAATCCATTAAAAAGATCACTTTGAGGCCGAAATTAACTTTTCCATGTTTCTCCTCTCGTGAAGCTATGAGCTTTCTCGTGACCTGGAGCCTCCAGTTGATCCGTGTCCCAACTCTCCCAACTTATGGAGCAGCGGACTCCTCACCAAGAAGCTCGCCACGTAAGAAAACCCGTTTCAGAACCGATTTACTGGGATTTACACGTGTTTTTTGCCTTTTTTTAAAACTTTTGCGGGGGGTAGGAATTTTACTCATTAATCACGATTAATTAATTAGAAAAAATAATGTGTAAAAAATGACTGTTTGAGCCCGAGCACTCTCCAGCTGGGACCTGAAAAGGTTTATCATCAGAAATTTCTGCCCTATGTACCAGTAAATATCATCAAACTGCACCTCAAAGAAACCGCAGAGCTACAAGACCACCTCAGCCTTTTTACGTGCTCCAAACTAAACTAGAACAACAATTAAATGAATCGTGACTAATCGCTCTTCATGAAGAAAAGAGAAAAAGAAAGCAGGCCAGCTCTAAACCCTTAGGGGGTCCTGGGGGGTGCGTGGGAGTTTGTCCAACCATCCTACATGTGTTTTGTGGATTTGGAGAAGGTGTTCGACCGTCCCCCGGGAGGTCCTGTGGGGGGTACTTGGGGAGTATGGGGTACCAGGCTCTCTGGTACAGGCTGTTAGGTCCCGGTGGCCTGAGGATCAGGTCTCTGATTTTTGCAGATGATGCGGTCCTGTTGGCTTCATCAGAACGAGTTCTTCGGCTCTCACTGGAGCGGTTCGCAGCCGAGCTAGGAAGAGAATCGGCTCCTCTAAATCCGAGACCATGGTCTTGAGTCAGAAACGGGTAGAATGTCTTCTCCGGGTCAGGGATGAAGTTCTGCCCCAGTCAGAATCAGAATCAACTTTATTGTCAGTGCCCCAGCGTCCTGAAGCGTACAAATTTGTCTTCGCAGCACAGCCTGACCAAGGTTACACGCACAAAGCAGATACAGGAAGACCACGAGAGCGGCCACTCAAGGCGCTCAAGTGGAGGAGTTTAAGGATCTCGGGACTAGGGTTGTCACGGTGTGAAAATGTAACCTCACGGTTATTGTGACCAAAATTATCACGGTTTTCGGTATTATCGCGGTATTTTTTTTAAACGTGTTACATTTTCAGACAACTACATAAATGCTTTATATCAGGAAAATATTGTCCTCAGTTTGTCTAGATTTAGCCTAAAATGTGTTATTTAGTAATTATGTTGTTTATTTGTTTACATATTTCCCCTTTAGTCTTTAAAATACCAATATTTGCCCATAACTTCTTATTTTTTGTCCGTTTGATGTCATCATTATAAAAATATTAGATCAGATGATACTCAGTACTCAAGTAGCCTTCTAATCAGATACTTTTTTACCCTTACTTGAGTAATAAACCCTCTATCAGGAAAATATTGTCCTCGGTTTGTGTCCTTCCAGTGAGCTTTGCAGATGTGGGAAAATGTCATCAGGCAGTAATCGTTGTTAAATTCATAATTATTCTCGGAGAGAGACCAACTCTTATCTGCCCATGGGAGCCCCATAATGCATAGCGTCATTTCAACATGGCGGTGTCCGCGACACGGTTTATATGCAGGTAGCGGCGCTGCGGCTGCTTTATATAGCGACTCGTTGCATTCTCCCTCAACCCAAATCCTCGGATCACTCATTTTAGCTAAAACGCTAACGTTAGCTTGCCTTGCGTTGACTGTAGAGTTGTGGGTGATGGTCACGCAGATGTGTCATGAGATTTGAAGCGTTGCTGCCTTTCACAGACACTTTTCTGCACGTGCTGCAAACAGGATAGCCGTCTTCTATCAACTGTCCCTCGGCATTCTTCAAATATCCAAAAAAAACGCCCGTACTTCCCACTTTGTCTTCTTTGAGGGATAATAAATGTCTTGAGCGCTGCAGTCTCCTCCTTTGACCATTATTTCAGCTTTAGCTTCAAGAAAGTTTTGGTCGTAAACAACAAAGCGCGCATGTGCCGCCGGCAACTTCAGCAGATGATACGGTGGCTGGTAAGGGTCACCGCGCCTACACCGCAGCCACGGTAATCCACTGAGATAATATAGTTTTTTAAAAAACAAGACGGTTATTATTATTGTCAACTTTTTTTACCGGGGTTTACCGCTACACCGGTTACCGTGACAACCCTACTCGGGGTCTAGTTCACGAGTGAGGGAAAACAGGAGCGTGAGATCGATAGGCGGATTGGTGCTGCATCTGCAGTGATGCAGGCGTTGTACCGGTCTGTCGTGGTGAAGAGAGAGCTGAGTCAGAAGGCGAAGCTCTCGATTTACCGGTCGATCTACGTCCCTACCCTCACCTATGGTCATGAGCTTTGGGTAGTGACCGAAAGAACGAGATCGCGGGTACAAGCGGCTGAAATGAATTTTCTCCAAAGGGTGGCTGGGCTCTCCCTTAGAGATAGGGTGAGAAGCTCGGTCATTCGGGAGGGGCTCGGAGTAGACCCGCTGCTCCTCCACATCAAGAGGTGCCATTTGAGGCGGCTCGGGCATCTGGTCAGGATGCCTCCTGGACACCTCCCTGGTGAGGTTTTCCGGGCACGTCCAACTGGGAGAGGACCTATAGGAAGACGCAGGAACAAAGTGTGGTTAAACCATTTGTGCCTCACTAAAAATCTTTCATTTAAAAAAAATGCTTTGGGGCAAATAGTTTTGAGAGATTAAAATGCGATTAATCATAATTAATTACAATTAGATAATTTTTAATTTAGTCCCACCCTCTTTTTTTGGTATAAATCGAATACGTTCCAGTTAAAAACGGAGCACAGCGTTTCTTCCATCCCATCTGTTTTTGAGCTAATGAATGTAAAAATCTCCTGAATTATGACTGTTTACAAATTTTCCGCAGGTTACAGGCGTCCCACAGTGATCAGATCAGTGTGTCTTCTTCTGGCTCCAGCAGCTCCGACTTTGAGGAGATCCCTGCTCCTCAGGCATTCCCTCTCAGACTCAAGCTGAAGGTACGATTTCCCAGCGGTCTCCAGACTCCTGCTGCTTCATTTCAGCAAGAAGCTCACGGGATCTCCTCTCCTTTCCCTTCAGTCTCTCACCGGCTCTCTTCACAATGTCGCAGAGGACCTCTCCACGTCCCCGTCCTCGTCTCCGAGCCTCTCGAGGTCATCTTGCAGCTCCTCGCATCCCGATCTCAGCTCTTCGTCCCTGGGGCTGAGCCCAGAGTGTTCGTCATCGTCATCGTCATCCCAGTCCTGCTGCTCTCCTCAGGCTGTGCTGCCCGTCTACAACAAACAGGTGGCAGACTCGTGCATCATCAGGGTCAGCGTGGAGTGCGTCAATAACGGAAACGTCTACAAGAGCATACTGGTGCGTTCTCCATCCGGCTGTTCTTCAGATGTTCAGAGACTCTTGTTTGTTTTTAAGAGAGGGTCAGAGCGAAGTAAAAAGTGTTGACAGAAAACAGGATTTAAAGGTGCAATATGTAAGAATATAGAGAGAAAATCCTTAAAGATTCTAACGTTCCAGTTATTTTGGAAGGAAGGTTACACCGAAACATGTTTCATATCCAGCTGCGGGGATTGTCAGTTTTTCTCCTTTCAAAATAAAGGAAGGAGGGACATAACGACTGTTTACCATCAGTGAGGGTGGGGGTGTCGTGTCTCCTGCGAGCTAATGCTGCAGCTCCGACAATTGTAATTAGACGAGGGCAAAAAGCTCCAGAGTTGTTTAACCCTCCCACTGTCCTAATGGGTGACCCTGCGAGTAAAGTGACCACTGAGCAGGATTGATGGTTTATCCCTTGGGTCCACGTGGCAGGGGTGAGATGGTGCTCACTCCTCACTCCTGCCACGTGGACCTCAAGGGATAAACCATCAACCCTGCTCAGTTGTCAACTTTACTCGTGGGGTCACCCATTAGGACAGTGGGGGTGGGGGGTTGGGGGGGGGGGGGTATAGTGGTTGCAGTAATCACATTTTACTACAGTATGTCATTTTTTTTTTATTTCATCTCTACATAATGCACCTTTAAAACAAACCCTGCTTGGAAATTTTAAGCAGGAACAGAAATGAGTTGTGTTTACTAGGTTAATCCTTAATTTAGTGTAAAAAAAAAGTTTATTAAATAATTTTTATACCTGTGTTTGGATTTTTTATAAGTGTTTTTTTTTTCCCTGCAGCTGACCAGCCAGGACCACACACCTCATGTCATTCAGAGAGCTCTGGAAAAACACAACATGGAGGATTTCCGGTGCAGCGACTTCAGCATCTACCAGATGCTCAACCATGGAAAAGGTGAAGACGTTTTCCTCAGAGCTGCTGCTAAATATTCCAGAGTGTGAAATGCATTTATTTACTTATGTTTTAGGAGGATTAGCCTTCTCGTCCTCCATAGAACGTTTCGGTAACACTTTAGTTTAGGGAACACAAATTAACCATAAATTAGCTGCCAATTAATATGCATATTAGTGGACTACTAAGTCTGAATCAGTAATTATTAAGCTATTATTAGATGCTTTTTACCAACGCTGTAATTCTAACATTAACAGGCCATAAATTAAGGGTTTTGTCAAAATAAGCCATTTATAATGGTTTGTCGCTGATTAACGCACATATTTGTTAGCTCAAATCAATATGTGGCTTTTAACGAAGTAATTCAAAGGGAATAGTTATCTTGCATTAATAACCAAAAATATTATGTTCTACTATTATGTAGAGGTGTGAATCTTCACTTGTCTCCCGATTCGATTTGATTACAATTAGGGCTGCAACAAACGATTATTTGGATAATCGATTAATCGGATGGGGTCTCGACACGATTAATCGATTAATCGGATTACATGGGGAAATTTTTAAAAACTGCTAGGGAAACGTTATTTCTCTCCTTCCTTCACTTTATTTAACACAACATTATTAGAAAACAGTTCAATAGCAGAAAAACAACATGCCATCACCTAAATTGTCTTATAAGGTGTATAGACAGAGACCCTAAGCTACATCTATCTGTGACCTAAAATGCTTGGTCCAAGTTAAACAGCTTAAGGGCAATTCTCATCTGTTTTGTTTGATCTCATCTGTTAACATTTATTTTAAATGTAATTAAACATAGGCTGTGAATTAATCAAAATTGATCACTATTTCCAAAACTGACTGAAAAAATACCAAATAAAACAAAAGTAAATGAATGCCATCCTCCTTGCGATGATGCCCTGGGCAACTGCCATAAAGTCACATCAAGAAATGCTGCTGATCATTCCAATGATCCCAAATAGACTCACATTAGGCCACATGAAAGCAACTGAACCCAAAAATATATTAACCAGTATATAACTGCACTCTCACACAACACGCCTGCAGCAACAGTTAGGACTCCTCCCTCCCTTTTAAAAGTGTTTTTGCTTCTGAGGACATTGTGGTTGTAAAACCACACGCTAGTAGTCTGGCCCCGGTGTGATCAACCAGTTTCTGCGGGAATGTGACGGCGGAACCAGGGCCAGATTAACACTTTGTTGTACCCTGGGCAACAATATTCAAGGGCTCCATCATCACGACCCAAGGATCACCATAATGTGGTCACATACAGAATATTTTACTGTGATATGCAGTAAATATACTCAATATTTGAATGCCTGACAACACGTAACCCGCCCAGAGTAACCTTTGACCCACCTCGTGTGGACTGACCAATGAGGAGAGGGTCTTAACTTGAGGCCCTCTCTTCATTGGTCAGTCTGCATGAGACTGACTCTCAATTGACATTCAGTCGTAGGCAGCGAAGCGTCTCTGTGCAGTGCAAAAGCCCGGGTGGACAGTTTGTTTAATGTAGGGTGATCATATTTCCATTTCCAAACAAGAGGACAGGGGATCTGTGCCGATGATGTCACACTATGGCAACGCCACACAAACCATGTTGGGACCCATTTTTTGTAAGAACTAAATTAATATCAGATTCTGCCAATTAAAGGGCTCTAAAACAATTCATATGTAAATATTTTGCATATTTAATGCAAAATCTAATTTTTCTGCTTTAGTGCTGCAACAAGGTTTTATTAATAATAAATTATTATACCTTTTGTTTTACTACAGCATCGGTAAGCTTCCTGTGCACAGATGATTAAGGATGCTTGTTTCAGCTGTGAGATTAGACGATAGGATCAATGAAAAAAATAAGTTGTCACACACTCCATGGAAACTTTCAGAGAATCCACAAATAGTGGCTTTCAAATGGTTTTGTTACTTTTAGCAGGTTTAGAAAAGCAGCAGATGAGACAGCATGTCTGATAATTTAGTTTTTCATCTGATAATATTAGAACATGTCAGTAATGTCTGAGGGGCTTTTATAAACACCGTCTAACTAACACTACTGGAGAGGGCATGAATTACACAGAGGCTTCTGGGGAGCCCAGTTATTGGGGGGGTGGGGGGCATTTTGCCTTGGCCCCCAAAATTTCTTGAAACGGCCCTGGGTGTGTGTAACTTATTGTTTTTTACTGGTAAAAACGTGTCGTGGAGATAAATCTACCTACATTTGACTTTTCAACACTTTGTTTTGTTTTCTTGTTTTTATTTAACTATTTTCCTGTCCTGCCTCTCATCTTCCTGCATCTCCTCTTAATTCTCCAGAAAATCTGTTGCCTGGATTCTTACCTTTTCACCTCATCAGTTACTTTTGAGCAGATCAAAGGGATCTCCTGACCGAAAAGCGCAGAGCGCGTTTTCGATGCTGCGTCAGTGAGGTGACATCACCACAGCACAGGTGATGAGCTCCACAGTAGCGAGCTTCAGGCACAAATAAGACAGAAAATAGAGAATATGTGCGGACATGAACGATCGTGTGCTAATTATAGTTTTTTGGTTGCGCCACTTTGAGAATGGACCGTGCGCTGGAAGCAGCTGCCTGGATCGCTGCAAAACAATGCGGAACCGGTTCGCAGCAGCGCAAGTCTGCCGGCTCTCCCTCGCGCTGATCTGCCGGTACCGGCTCTCCCTCGCGCTGATCTGCCGGTACCGGCTCTCCCTCGCGCTGATCTGCCGGTACCGGCTCTCCCTCGCGCTGATCTGCCGGTACCGGCTCTCCCTCGCGCTGATCTGCGGCTCTCCCTCACGCTGATCTGACTTGCTCTGGTCTGCGCGCAACGGCGGGCAGGAAGGGGGGGGGCGCTTTTGGAAGAGTTGTGCGACACAACGAATCGATGACGCAATTCGTTGCCAACGCTTTTAGTAATCGATTTTCATCGAATTTATCGATTCGTTGTTGCAGCCCTAATTACGATTATTTGGTCAACGATTCAATTCGATCCGATATCCCGATGCATCACGATTATTTCATATTGATTTGTTTTCATTGATAAATAGAAGATGTCAGATAATTGCTTTTTATTTTTTATCAAAAACGTAATTGACACAACCTGCCATCCCTCAAAATCTCTCCATTCACAACAGGTTAGGACAAAACATTTTAAACATTTAAGAAGATTTAACAAAGTAAAACATCTGTTCCCTCGTTCAACACCACGCCTCAGGCTGAGAAAAACACGCTTTGCAAAAACTCACAAAATCTAAAAAAGTACTGAAAACCTACAGGACACATAATGTAATAATAAAATACACAATGGGTTCATATGTGAGTGTTTAATGTCTCTGAGCAGCTCTAGAGTCAAATATTTATGCCACAGTTGAAGGGTTTCAGAAATAACACCACATGAAATGTTTGACTTAGTTTATTTCATTTGAACCCAGTGGTTCATTTCTGAAATGTTGGAGAGTGAATGAAGTTCTGTTTGATGCAGAAAATAATAAAACATAAAACAAATTCTAAACTTCCAATAATATTTAAGATGTGTGTTTTATTCATTCTGATAATAACACCAGCAGAAGGCTGTGGGCTGGATTAGGATTAAATTACCCAGCTGATGGATCTCCTTCACTAACCAGCTAACTACAAACCTTTCCACTAACCTGTCCTGTGTGACCCTCACCCTTTCACCCTCATGTCCATGCTGTCTCTGGAGCAGCAGATAGGAGACAGATCTCCTGTAACCTAAAATGAACCAAAGCGTCCTCCCATCAGTTTATCATCATGACACAAAAGAATAAAGTGGAACTTCTCTGTGTCCCTAAATAAAAGATGATCACGCTGCAGCTGCAGTCATTGACCCCGCCCCCTCCCCTAGACCGGACCTCCCAGCATCACAACACTCGGTGTGACTGAGCGCTTCCAGGAGAAATAATTAAATTATGAAAATTATAACGCGTGTTTGGAGCATCGGTTTGGAGGAGCGTCCTCCGATCCTCTCTCTTGTGTGAGCAGACAGTCTCTCTCTCTTTCTCTCAGTTGCTGTGCGAGCGAGCGGAGCGTGCCACATGACAACCCGCTCAATTAACATAATTCACGGCCCAAATCCAACAGAACCGGTCGGGCTGATTCGGTTCCGGTTCGGTCTCAGGTTACAACTCTAGGCTCAGCCCTGCAGTACCACATTAAGGCGGAACCACTTGGTAAATGTGGAGGACGCTCACTCCGACAGATTTGGATGCAGCGCTGGTGCCGCCGTTAAAAAAAACAAAACTACATTCCACTATAATCGATTACGGCGTACTCTTCTACGATGCAGAATCGTTTATGTCCGCATCCCGATGCATCGATTATTTGATTATTTTCCCCAGCTCTACTATTATGTAAATAAACACCAAACTCCACATGTTATTAGAGCATAAACAACAATCAATTAACCACACGAACATGTTCCCCATTCTAAAGTTAGACTTTGTTCAGACCTAATTACTAGTAGTTTAGTATTAATTAACCAATATGTTACTCCTGAATTACTTCTTTAAAAGCCACATATTGGTTTGAGCTACTTGGTGTGTGTGTGTGTGTGTGTGTGTGTGTGTGTGTGTGTGTGTGTGTGTGTGTGTGTGTGTGTGTGTGTGTGTGTGTGTGTGTGTGTGTGTGTGTGTGTGTGTGTTAATCAGCAACAAACCGTTCAGTCACTTAACAACCCATTATGAATGGCTTATTTTGATAAGACTCTTAATTTATGGCCTGTTAATGTTAGAATTATGGCATTAGGAATAAGCTGTTAATAATGACTAGTTCAGACTTAGTAGTCCACTAATATGCATTAATTGGCAGCTAATTAATGGTTAATTTGTGTTCCCTAAACTAAAGTGTTACCAAAGTTTCAATGAAAATAAAGACCAGGATAACAAACAAGTGCGCTTTCTGCTCCGAGTTCCTTCACTGTGAAGACATTCCCTGTTATATATTTTGTTTTTATTTACATTTAATGCCACTTTTTTATAAATAAATATCAAAGTTGGCAGCAGATTGGAGAAACTAATTATTTTCTAGATTGAACCAAATTTGATAGTTTTCCACCAGAAATGACAATCAGACTTGAAGAATCTGGAATTTTTCTCCCTTCCAGGAATTATGTGATTTTTTTAGAGATCTGTAAAAGCGACAGTCTGACCCTGTGAGAGGTGCACGTTCACTAGTGGCTTTGGCCATAAACGTGGAAGTAGGGAGAGGGGCACAAGGTGCACTACATCAGTTCACCACTAGATGGTGCCCTTTGAGAAAACTCCAGATTTCTGCTTTAGTGTTTATTAACAGCTCACTAACACCTGTAATGATTGTATTTCTCTCTCATTTGTAGAGCTTCAGATTCCAGACAAAGCCAACGTGTTCTACGCCATGTGCACGTCTGCCAACTACGACTTTGTGCTACGTCAGCGCTGGAAGAGGCACGGGAAACATTCTGGCTTCCTGTCCAGTCCCGGAGCTCAACACAAGCGCAGACACAACAAATGACCCTAAAATCAACAACAACAAATCTGCTGCTGTGGTCCAAACCAAGCTCAGGCATCGCCTCGCCTGCTGCTGGCTTTCTACTCATCATCATGAGACTGTCAGCGTGCAGCGGAGAAAAGCAGATCTGTCACAGATCCTGTTGAAAACATCCGTGGAGGAGTTCTCATCGGTCACTGAAACGCATCGAAACAGGAACTGCTCTGAGCCGTCTGAATGAGATGTCAGGATCCAAGGAAGATCCGGAATCAGAAGGAGTTTCCTTCATCATGAGGATCCATAATCTGGTGTTTGTGCTCCTTTTTGAGACTCGTCATTGAAAACTGATGAATGTTTTCTCCTCTGTGACGACACACTCTTCTATTGACTTCTTCTCAAGAACGAGTTTAAAACGCCGTTGGGACCACTTCACAGGAACGTCTATAAATTTATCATTTTAGTTAAAGATTTCTATATTTAAATAAATCTATATAGTTTTATACATTTAAATTATTTAATGCACTTCAGTATTCAGGTGTTTGTTTTTGTGTTTTAGTAATTGTTAATCCTGAGTGAACATGGGGTGGAAAAGCCTTGGCCGTACTAAAACACTGCAGCAGCTTTTTCATTTGTGAAATTAGCTTTTGCAATGAAGGAAATACTCTAGAAGTACAAGTGGTCTGATTAAAACTGCCACATCTTCCCAGCACAGACCCAAATATATTTGGTTCTTCTGAGCTTAACCCAAGTTTGCATCCATTTGAATAAAAGAAAGGAGTTTTTTTTCTGCTGCTGTGGCTTAAATGAAGGAAAATTGCCTAAATTTTCATTGAAGTGGAAAGTTTACAGTCGGAGAATCGTCCAGCTGAGGCTTCTGCTCACTAATCCAGGAACTATAACATCATATTTCCATTATCGAGTGGATTATGTCCAGAGAATTCTCTGTGAAGGAGATTAATCTGAAGGATGTCCCAGCATCAGAGCTTTTTTAGGATTTAAACTCCTCTCTAAAACTGTCTGGTGGCTTTTTACACATCTAGACTCTTGTTTGCAAATACGTAGGTAAAACCTTTGCACTCTGACGTCTGATCTTGTGTGTTTTTGAAGGATTTTGCATCGTTTGTCCAGTTTTAAAGCTGCTGTCGTTTTCCAGATGAAGGATGGTATTTAAAGGGCTGATGGGTCTGTGGTGTCCTGATATCACACAGTATTATTAGGTTTGAAGTACTAAAAATGTCAGCGTTACTCTACTTTTATTTTGTGTGTGTAATCTAAGCACTTATTGATTGTATATAAGTAGTATTAAATATTCACTAATAAAGCAAATCTATCCTTTTATAGACTTGTTTTCATTTTATTTTACATTTAATCATCACTGACCTAAAGAAAATAAAATCTGTTATGAGTAGTAGGGATGTAACACATGATCAGCCGAAGCGTAGAATCACAGAATTGTTTCCACCCGGACTGTTTTAAAAGTGACCCTCTGAGCCTGGTCCCTTTTGGGCCTTTTCCACCGACCAAACTGGCATGGAATGGGAAGGATCGGGTCGCTAATAAATATTTTGTTTCGATTGTTGAACCAGTCCAGGAAACCTACCCGAACCGGTCCAGAGCGGGACCCCTGTGGGTCCAGAGATTTTTGGTCTGGGCGGAGCCACAGCGGGTCCAGAGTCCTCTGATTGGCGGAGAAATTACGTAACTACCCGCGACAATCCCAGGGGATGGAAAGAAGTGAGCCGAGTTCCAGTGTTTGTTTGGCTGAACTCCTTGTGCGCGAAAATGCCTGCAAGTAATAGCTTTTGGTCCAGTGCGGAGCTTCAAACGTTCCTCACCATCATGGGAGATAGCAACATTCAGGCCGAGCTGGATGGGATGAGAAGAAATGAGAAAGTCTTCAAAGAAGTTTCTCAGCGCATGGCAGCTGAAGGATTCCAGCGCACCTCCGAGCAGTGTCGTGCGAAGCTGAAAAAAACAAAAGCCCGCTACAGAAAAGTTAAGGACAGCAACGGCCGTAGTGGGAATGGGCGGAGTACATGGAAGTGGTATGATGTGGTGGACGCTATTTATGGACACAGACCGTCAAACCGAGGCAGCGAAGGAGGTCTGGACTCGGCGACCAGTATCCTGGAGTCACTCGTAAACCCTATTGGTAAGCATTTATTTTGTTGTCTTTTTAGCTCTGCAGGCCATTCATTGCAGCACCAAAAACACTGAATAATAGCAGCACCTATTTAAGAAATGCTCAGCAAGTAAATGATTTACCCCCTCGTGTTAACTAGCCTTAGCATCCCCTTGTGTTTATGTTAACCTTCATTTAGCATTCCCTCGTGTTTTTTAGCACGCTGTTCGCGGTATAAGCCTTTCATGTTTAGCATGTCCTTGTTGCGTACATGAGGCTGGAGCGGAGTTTGCCTTTCTTGTTAGCGTCTCATTGTTTAAAACATGGGAAATTCGGTTAGCCTTTCACGTTAGCATCTGTGTTTTTAGCGTCTCATTGTTTTAAACAGCTGAGCTGAGCGCCCACAGTGAGGAGCAGCGTCGCGAGCTGATCTAACGGTCTAGCTGCAGACGCAGCCCCGACCAAACACGCCCACGTGCCCTTTGTACAAAACACACGTGCACGTACGAAGACGAGAACTCGCGTGCGTGTTGCAACAGATGGAAATGACGGTTCAGGTAAAGACAGATTTATATTTTTACAACTTGTGAAGATTTTGTACTAGAAATGTGAACGTTTAAGACATAAATTGATAGATAGCGCGTTCGTAATTTTTTTCTGAAACACTTTTATATAAAATTAAGTATTATTGGCAGTGGGGGAAGACGTCATGGACGCAAATTTTTTTATATATATAATTTTTTATGGGCTACATGCAAGCCTTTTGGCCAAAATAAACGTAACAATAGGCTATTTATTTGACTGTTTTCATAGTTGCCTATATGTACTGTTTTCACATTGTTTATGACAGCCTGTAGGTGTAAATGTCATTTTTACTAATTGCTATTTATCTTTGTCTCATTAGTGAGAGGCAGCTGGTATATGCCATGGAACTGCTCATATACTCGGAGAAATTCAGAAAAGCTCTGGACTCATCTCATTGTGTGGAAATTTTTAATTATTTTTTCCGAAGGTTTTTGTAAGGGCAAGTAAAGCAGTTGCTGGTTGTTTCATTTGTCTGAACTTTTTTCTAAAGCCAAACTTTTCTGCTTTTGTGTTTACAGTATATTCTTTACAGATTAGTGTATGGTCAATATCAGTTTACTAGTCTTGTGAATTGTTTACTTAATGCAAAATATTTGAGTAATTTCTAAATCTATACATTTTGTGTCAAAGGGCCAGCAATTATTCCTGTTAACAGAATATATGAAATTGCTTAAAAATTACACATCAGAAGCTTTTCACTGTAAAGAAGCAATAAAAAACCATAAATAGTAACATAGATATTAACTACTCACTCGTATGAACTTAGACCTACTGTTAGCGCCTGTTATAACAAATGGTTGAAAGTTAAATGTTGCTGTAGGAGGCGTGCTCCCAATAGTGGGCTTAAGGGGTTAATTAAAACGATTACCACTAATTACTTTTTCTGATATTTAATTTTTTTGCATTTAAAATAAACACTTGCACATACATTACTCACCTGCTAACTTAAGTAAGCACAGGTATGTTGTGCCTATTGTCCAGCAACTGATTATTTGTTGGTGGTATCTGTGTTTTATAATGTCACTGGGGATGGCCATAAAGTGTGTATTGCAAGAAAAAAAAATCCATACATTCATATTTAAACCTGGAGTCCTTTTCTGTTTAATTACATTATTACTATTTCTGTATAAACGTATTCTTTCAATTGTGTGGAGCTGATGGAGCTGACAGCGGAATGCTCCCTGCCCGCTGGGAGGGCCGCCGTTGTTGAGCTCGGGGGAGGGGGGGGGGGTAGCTCAACAGGCTCATGGGGACGTGTTTGGAGAGGGTCTGCAGCTAGGTATTATTGGTCCCTTTGGGCCCAATCCCAGTACTCGCACTGCACTCTGCAGCCTTTGACACTGGAGAGGCTGAGGGACTGGGTAGGCCTATCAGGATCTGCTCTGGAGTGGTTCTCCTCTTATCTGTCTGAGCGCTCCTTTTCAGTGGCCGTCTCCAAGTTTAGGTCCTCCACCATCTCCCTTACCCATGGTGTCCCACAAGGTTCTGTGCTGGGGCCTCTGCTCTTCCTCCTCTCTCTGCTTCCTCTTCAGCACATCCTGAGCTCCTTCAAAGGAATCTCCTACCATCTTTATGCAGATGTCATCCAACTGTACATCTCCTTTAAGCCCCATGAGATGTCTAAGCTGCAGCTGTTGCACACCTGCTTCAAAACCTGGATGGTGGGAGCTTTCTTCAGCTGAATGAAGATAAGACTGGGATCCTCATCTGTGCCCCAGACAAGCTGGTTCCCAAAGTCAGAGACTCTCTTGGTTAGCTTGCTTCTCACACCAAACCTTCTGTCAGGAATCTTGGTGTGACCTTTGACCCAGCTCTCACCCTGGATTCTCATGTCAGTTCTCTTGTTCGCTCTTCCATCTCAGGAACGTTGCTGAGTCCCATTCTGTCCCGCTCTGAACTTGAGACAGTTCTCCACACCTTCATCTCCTCACGCTTAGACTACTGCAACTCTCTTTTCACGTGTCTGAGCAGAACCTCCCTGAACCGTCTACAGGTAGTTCAGAACGCCTGTGCTCGGCTTCTGACCAAGTCCTCCAAACACACCCACATCACCCCGCTTCTCCTCCAGCTTCACTGGCTGCCAGTCAACTTCAGGGTTCATTTCAAGATCCTGGTTCTGGTCTATAGGGCCTTACATGGACAAGCACCATCTTACATTGGTGATCTTCTCGGTCCATACACCCCCAGCAGGTCCCTGAGGTTCAGTGACCTTAGCCTACTGGTTGTGCAGCACCAGGCTAAAGACCAAAGGTGACAGATCATTTGCTGCTGTGGCCCCCAGACTTTGGGCCTCACCCCCCTGAGCCTGAAATCAGTGGACTCAGTGGTCTCCTTTAAAAAGCAGCTGAAGACTCACTTGTTCAGGCTTTTCTATGACCATCTTCACCACTCTTTATTCTGCTCTCCCCACCTATTCCATCTTCCTCAGGAATTGTCTATTTTTTGCTCATTTTAAATATATTGTAACCCTTTTCTATTCTTTTTATATTTTTTACTTTTTTTGTTTTTGTGAAGCGCCTCGTGATTTTTATCTTGAGAGGCGCTATAGAAAAGATATTTTCTTCTTATGATTTCCCTCTTTCTTATTCATTTTCTCTCTCCCTCTCCTCATATTTTTTAATCAATTTTTTTAAATGTTTTACATTTTTGTTCTTGTAAAGAGCCTAGTGGTTGTTATCTTGAGAATAAAATATAGTTTTTTTTCTTTTTTTCACTCGGCTATGACTCCAGTAGTGTTTAAGAGGACCCATTCAATATGGCGGCGACAGCGTTACGCTCGCCAGTGCCCGCACGTCTGGTACTACTCATGTTATGCAGTTGGGGGTCAGGAAGTAGCGCCAGTGCACTGAACCTGTTAAAAACAGGAGGCGCTGAAACGGCCAATTCTAGAGTTTGCAGTGATCACTTTATAACAGGTAAGAGTTTACTAAATGCTTAAAATGTTTTATTATTTAACAGATACTTCGAAAAACAGCCATAAAAAAGAACACTAAATAGTTTGATGCTGTTTTCATACTGCTGTCAGAATGCTAATGTGGTTAGCAGTTAGCTTAGTGTTGTAACGTGGCGTTTGTACCTTATTTTACGTTTTTAGGCTGTCCTAATGCAGTAACGGATGTTAATTCTGAAGACTGGGCCCCTACTGTTCACCCGGGTTACCTAAAGTGTAACGAGAGGCCACAAACAGAAGAAGCATCATGCCAGAGGGGGGAAAGAGCTAAGGCGCAGGAGGTGGCAGCAAACTTGGATGATGTTCTCTGTGATGAAGGCTCGTCGATTCCTGATGTGGGATTTTCCAAAGGTAAAGAAACCTCCATTTATTTTTTCATGCTATAAAGAGAAACAAAATAAACAAACAAATGAATAAATAGTTACTTGCCCAGCTATACTTTCACAATGCTGTGCTGTCTTATCTCCCTCTGGCCACAAACCAAGCTTTTAGAGGGGGTTATGCGGATCTCTGAATGCATCACCAATATTATATAAATATTCTTAAAATCTAATTTAATATGGATTTAAAATGCATAATTATTTACAAGTAGATCCTTGCACTTAAACATACTCGTTAGCACTAGCGATGTCAATCACTAGCGAAATCAGATTTATTTATAAAGCACTTTTCAAACAAAGTGCTACTCAAAGTGCTTTACAAAATGACCCCAGATTCCCATCACAGGTTAAAAACATTAACAGACGTATGCAAGCACACGCACACGCACGCGCACACAAACACAAGTAAAAAATTATATTTGGCTGAGTCCAGATGAGCCAAGTAAGGTAAGGCAAGGAAACGCCATCAGAGGAGCCGTCTGCCCCGGCAGCATCAGGTCTTCCACACTAAGTCAGGGCGCTCAGTGGAGGGGGAGCATAGACCCCCACCTATAGAGCGCCCAGGAAGCTGCAGTCGACCACCGCTCCTGGGGTACAGGGCCCCTACAGAGGAAACACTGGATTCAAATGAGTAAAAATATAATGAAAGAGCTAATATAAGGGACAAAAGGTAGAAAATAAGTAATAAATAAAATCATATAGACCGTAAAATAATATTAAATAATGAAAACAATGCTAAAATATAATCGTATAAAACGTGCAAAGCAAGCAAGAAAATATAATCATGTAAAAGGAGAAATTAAACTGTAGTAAATATTTAGATAAAAGCTAACCTAAATAGGTGGGTCTTGAGCCTGGGCTTAAAAACATGAACGTTCTCTGCGGCCCTGAGGTCCTCTGGCAGCTCGTTCCAGAGGCGAGGGCCATAACACTGGAAGGACGCCTCGCCGTGAGTGTGTGTCCTGACTTTAGGGATGACCAGGAGATGCCTGCCAGAGGAGCGCAGAGGCCATGAGGGTTCATATGGTAAAAGCAGTTCTGAGAGATAAGAAGGCCCAAGACCGTTAAGACACTTAAAAACCATTAGAAGAACCTTAAAATGGATCCTGAAACATACGGGGAGCCAATGCAATGATTCTAAAACCGGTGTAATGTGCTCCCGCCTCCTGGTCTTCATCAGGACACGTGCTGCAGAGTTTTGTAGAAGATAGCATTATCATCCTGAGCTAATGCATTAAAATAGCACAACTCGCTAGTACTTACTGTACTGTACTGTGAGTCTGTAAATCAGGATAAACCAGATTCTGATCATGGAAAAACTCAGTCAAGTCATTAACAAAAAAAAAAAAATCAAACATCTTTCCTGAAGGGGTAGAACTTGACATTGTGGAAGAATTCAAATATCTTGGGTTAACTTTGGACCCAACCATAACTCTTTAGAATCACATTAAACAACTAAACAGTCAATTTTAATGTACAAAATCTTAAACAACTTAGACCTTGTTTGTCGCTCCATGCTGCTAAGTTATTTCTACATTCTATGATTTTGTCTCACGTGGAATACTGTATAACCTCCTGGTCACTTCCTCCTGGTGCAACACAAACCCATAGAATCCCTTTTAAAAAGCCATAAAATCCTTGATAAAAAATCATTTTTGCTTTGGTTTAGATAAATATAGACTTCTTAATCTTAGTAACTTTGTTACCTTCAAGAATACTTGCCTGGTTTTTAAGGTTTTACATGGACTAGCCCCTTTCCCCCTGACAGATTTGACTAAATCACGGTCTATCAGTGGAATGTCGACCAGGGCCACAGCTAGAGGAGACTGTGAGGTGCCTGACAGGCGCACTGCTTTTGGCACGACCACTTTATCCGTTAAGGGGACTAAATATTGGAATTGTCTACCACTCGGCATAAGAGACTCACAGTCATGCAGATCCTTCAGATTCAAACTTAAACAATGGTTGAAGGCAAACCAAACCTGTACCCATCAGTAATTTGTCCTCACAGTGGTGTTTTATGTGTTCTCTTTCTGTTTTTCCTAGTTTTAAATATAATACTTTACTTTCTTTTATTGCTTTTATTAGCTGCCTAGAGACTGCAGATGTAAATTAGCACTGGTGCTATATTTACTGATGCAAGTTATTGTTGAAGTTCATTAATATGCACTGTCCCTATTAAATAAAGAAAAAAGAAAAAAAAAACTACATTTGTGTTTTTAGATGTTAACGTTATTCATTTCTGTCCGTCTCTAAAAGATGAGGTCTGATCTGTTCTGAATATTACTAATGTTATTCTGACATGACGGGTGTTGTAATGTCTTAATGATCACCCAGAGACTATAACTGTTGACTTTCTCATTTATTCCTCAGAAGCTATGGTCCCAAAGGCTGTCTATGATGACCTCAAACAGAAGTACAGCCAGCTTCAAGCCGAGTGTGACAACCTGCGCGTGGACATCAAGAAACTGAAACTTGCATCTATTAAGTTCTTGGACTGACCGCTGTGCTGTGTGTGTGGGAGTTCAGTAAGAATCTGGTAGGGGGTGACTTGCTCTTTAAAAGAATTTAGAAATTAACAGCCCTGGTGTAAAAATAAAGCAAGGAATGCCAAAGATGCATTTAACTGGTTAAGGGTGTTAGCTAAAGCTTTAATCTGTTAACATGGCGTAACTGTACGTTTGTGATTCTATTAGATTAACTATCAGTCAACTATCAGCATTCCTACTCAACTTATAGCTTATATTCATGAACTTTAAAGAGCAAGTCACCCCCTACCAGAGTCTAACTCCACTCCCACTTCATGTTTGAAAAATGCAACACATGCTGTTGCCTGGCAGACCGAGGGTGGAGCTGCTAACAAATACACACACACACACAGGCTCATGACAGCATTGTGACATCATAATGTACCAGTGTACATCATAGCATACCTCTTAGCCAATAGCAGTGGCAGATTTAAATTAAAATACAGTGCAGAGTTTTTACCTGACAACGGCACAACACTGCCAGTTTTAGGCAGAATATTTAAATTTTAACTAAGATGCACTGAAGTGCCAAATTATTGACGACACGTGTCTGCAGCACGATTAGACACTCGTTTATTTAGTTTATCAGCAAAAAAAATGGTGTATTTGGGGTGACTTGCTCTTTAATGATTTTATTTATTTAGTAAGGGGTAAAACATTTTCTTTATCCTGTTTAACCCTATCCCCCCCCCCCATTGGGGGCCTCTACAGTTTCATGTCCCAAACATCTGCAACTGTCCAAACACAACTAAACCCACAATCACACAGCCCAGGTGGGAAAAAAGGCCATTTTAAATTGTAATAAATTAAGATACAATGATGTTTGAACTTTACTTTAGAAGAGCATCTGACCTTCTCTGGTGTCTGCTGGAAAAATAAAACCTTGAACAAATGTAGTTGAGGACCCCTGGAATAAATAAAACAATGACTAAATTTCCTAAATGGATTTTGAACTCACAACCTCCATCCTGTCAGCACGTTTACACAGGGCAGCTCTTCTAAAATAAAGTTCAAGTATCATTTTATCTTAATGTATCAGAAGCCAAAAATTGCTTTGTTTACTATCTAAACTGGTTTGATTGTAGCTGTAGCTGTGCTCGGGGAATGCAAACAATCACTCACACTTGGGACATGAAACTCCAAAGGCCCCCGATTGGGAGGCGCCAGGGCCCAAAGAAAAAAGGTCTAGGGCCTAAAGGGTTATTGGAAAAGATTCTCCAGCAGCGGTGATTTAGTTATAGGCTATGTGACCACTAGATGGCGCCAGATACAAAGAATGTCTTTCTAAACTGGTTGTTTTTCAAAACCACTTAGCAATAGGGGTCAGAGTTCAGAGTGAACCCTGTGTGTGTGTGTGTGTGTGTGTGTGTGTGTGTGTGTGTGTGTGTTGATCTGGTTCTTCTGCCTCTGGAAAAAGATATTTTTCCATATTTTGAGAACAACTTGAGTTTAGTTTAAAATCTACAGATTTGAGAGTTTATTTCCTGGTTTTTTGAACACAAATTTTCAGAAACACAAAAGCTTATAAAAAGCAACAAATCAGTAAACACTGAATGTTCAAACCCATTGTTTCACCAAGCCAAGGTGAAATTAACATGAAGGGGAAATATGACATTGTCCTTACCATACCAGTTTTATTTCTAAAGCACATTTAAAACCAGCAGGCAGCTGACCAAAGCGCTGTACAAAAACAAATAAACATACTAGGCAACGACTTGCAGCAAACTGGTTTAAAACCCTTTTGGTTTGTGGATAGTTTCAGTAGAGTTTATAAAGTGTCGTTTAAATTTTCTTGTTATGTTTTGTTTGTTTTTAATTTGTCTTTGAGACGTTCTGTGCCTCTATAATAAAACATCGGTTTGTAGATCAGTGACTTTTCCCTGAGCGCTGCTCAGCGTTTACGCTCATCCTTCCCTCTCCTCCTTACGGGCTCCCAACGACATGTCTAATTATATCCAGTGTTACTGTTCATTTCAGGTCACTTTTGTAATCGGAGACAAAGGTTCAGGAACCGGTCAATACGCTGACTCGATGACTATCAATTAACTGGTATCAAGTGATTTAAAGTGGATTTCCCCCAGGCTGACACATGGTTGGAGATTTATAACTTTAAGCTTTTATGATGTTTAGTGGAAGAATTCAAGTATAAATATTAGATTTCATAGGATTTTTTATTTTTTAGAAAACAAAAATTTGCAGAAGCAAAAGCACAAATAATAGAAAACTGATTTTGATACATTAAAATTGTCATTTTATTATTATTATTTATCTTATACATAACAGCATTGATTTCTTTGCCTGTGCTCTTCGGGTTAAAGTATCTTTGGTTTTCATTTCCATGTTTGTTTTCATGCCATTTTTAATTTGACTGAAATGCAAATTTTGTTTTGTACAATAAATTGAAAATGTGCAATAATTTAAAATTTCATTGGTGCTAATTAGCATCACAATGGTACATTATATATCTAATCTGAAGCTGTGTGTCAATAACTCCTCCTTATTGCATCATTACATGAGTTACATGTCAATTGTTCTGAGACGAGATTTAAATCACACACAGATCAATTATTAAGTAAGGAGGCGTGTGTGTGTGTTTGTGTGTGTGTGTGATTTTCACATGCAAAACAAGCCGCTGTGTGCTGATCACACGTGGACTTTTTGTACACCAGGTAAAGGATTTGCTTATGTAAACATGAGCTTGTCTGTAAAGCCTCTTTTGTTTTGTGTGTGTGTGTGACCTGCGGTACTTGCGCAGTAGTAAAACTGTGGTCCACCAGCAGACAGATGGGAGGAATGGCCGACACTAATCTCCTGTAAAGGGGTTAATCCACTTAATAACCGCCGTGAATGACTGCAGGTTGTCTCAGTGACCAACATGTTGTGTGTGTGTGTGTATGTGTGTAATTTCCTCCAAAAACATCAACCTGAAATATGGATTAAACACCAACTTTCCAATCGTCCTGAACATGTGTATAAACTCACCTGAAGACAGAATTCCTGGATTAAAGGATTGTTTTCATCTGGACCCCACCATTTATCTCATGACATTGTACCAGCCAGACTCTTCAGTGAGGTTCTTCCAGTGGTAGCTCCTTATGTGCTCAACATTATTAACTCCAGCCTTGTTTCGGGAATTATACCCTCCTTTTTAAATATGCCGTGCTTCAACCACTATTGAAAAAATCTGGCCTAGACCCAATTGTCCTCGGGAACTTTCGCCCATTTTCAAAGCTCCCCTTCTTGTCAAAAGTGTTGGAAAAGGCTGTTTATAATCAAATGTTGCCCAATCTGAACAATTTTGGGGTCTTGGATAAATTTCAGTCTGGTTTTAGACAATATCACAGCACAGAATCTGCTCACATCAGGGTTTTTAATGATATTATTTTAGCCACTGATTCCGGTTCCCATGTTGCCCTGGTGATGTTGGACCTCTCAGCTGCATTTGACACAGTTGACCATGACATTTTATTGTCCCGCCTTGAGAATTTGGTCGGCATTAAGGGATCTGCACTTGACTGGTTCTGCTCCTACAGGTGCTGGCCAGTAAATTAGAATATCATCAAAAGGTTGAAAATATTTCAGTAATTCCATTCAAAACGTGAAACTTGTACATTATATTCATGCAATGCACACAGACCAATGTATTTCCAATGTTCATTACATTTAAATTTGATATTCATAAGTGACAACTAATGAAAACTCCAAATTTGGTATCTCAAAAAATTAGAATATTCTGAAAAGGCTGAATATAGAAGACACCTGCTGCCACTCTAATCAGCTGATTTACTCAAAACACCTGCAAAGGCCTTTAAAAGGTCCCTCAGTCTTGTTTTGAAGGCACCACAATCATGGGGAAGACTTCTGACTTAACAGCTGTCCAAAAGACAATCATTGACACCTTGCACAAGGAGGGCAAGACACAAAAGGTGATTGCTAAAGAAGCTGGCTGTTCGCAGAGCTCTGTGTCCAAGCACATTAACAGACAGGCGAAGGGACGGAAAAAATGTGGTAGAAAAAAGTGTACAAGCTCTAGGGATAACCGCACCCTGCAGAGAATTGTGACGACAAACCCATTCAAAAATGTGGGGGAGATCCACAAAGAGTGGACTGCAGCTGGAGTCAGCGCTTCAAGAACCACCACGAGGAGACTCATGAAAGACATGGGATTCAGGTGTCGCATTCCGTGTGTCAAGCCACTCTTGAACAAGAAACAGCGCAAGAAGCGTCTCGCCTGGGCCAAGGACAAAAAGGACTGGACTGATGCTGAGTGGTCCAAAGTTATGTTTTCTGATGAAAGCAAGTTCTGCATTTCCTTTGGAAATCAAGGACCCAGAGTCTGGAGGAAGAGCGGAGAAGCACAGAATCCACGTTGCATGAGGTCCAGTGTAAAGTTTCCACCGTCAGTGATGGTGTGGGGTGCCATGTCATCTGCCGGTGTTGGCTCACTCTGTTTCCTGAGGTCCAGGGTCAATGCAGCCGTCTACCAGGAAGTTTTAGAGCACTTCATGCTTCCTGCTGCTGACCAACTTTATGGGGATGCAGACTTCACCTTTCAACAGGACTTGGCACCTGCACACAGTGCCAAAACCACCAGCACCTGGTTCAAGGACCATGGTATCCCTGTCCTTGATTGGCCAGCAAACTCGCCTGACCTTAACCCCATAGAAAATCTATGGGGTATTGTGAAGCGGAGGATGCAATACGCTAGACCCAACAATGCAGAGGAGCTGAAGACGACTATCAGAGCAACCTGGGCTCTCATAACACCTGAGCAGTGCCACAGACTGATCGAGTCCATGCCACGCCGCATTACTGCAGTTATTGAGGCAAAAGGAGCCCCGACTAAGTATTGAGTGCTATACATGCACATTCTTTTCATGTTCATTCTTTTCAGTTGGCCAACATTAGAGAAACAAACATTTTTTCATTGGCCTTTAGAATATTCTAATTTTCTGAGATACCAGATTTGATGTTTTCATTGGTTGTCACCTATAAATATCAAAATTAAACGTAATAAACATCGGAAATACATTGGTCTGTGTGCATTGCATGAATATAATGTACAAGTTTCACGTTTTGAATGGAATTACTGAAATATTTTCAACCTTTTGATGATATTCTAATTTACTGGCCAGCACCTGTATACAACAGGTCTATTAGTTAGGATGGACGATTGTTCATCTCCCTCTGCTGCTTTTCCTTGGGGCGTGCCTCGGGGGTCTGTTCTCGGCCCCCTTTTATTTAATATTTATATTCTTCCACTGGGACTGATCTTTAGGAAGTTCAACATCGACTTTCTTCTTTATGCGGATGACTGCCAGATTTATGTTCCCTTGAAGACTTTTACCTCCATCCCGCCGCTCCTTGATTGCCTGAGTGAGGTTAAAGACTGGCTGGCAGCAAATTTTCTGCTGCTGAATGATTTCAAGACCGAGTTTATTGTTTTTACTCCTAATGGCTCGTCTTCCTCCGCTCCTGATTTTTCTGCTCTTCCTTTCAAAATTAGTCAAACAATTGTTAATCTCGGAATTAAAATGGATGTGGCTCTAAAAACGGACCCTCATGTTAATCACATGGTTAAATCATGTTTTTATCAGCCGAGACGTCTTTCCAAACTAAAACCCATTCTGAATCGGCGCCACCTCGAGACAACCATTCACGCTTTCATCACAAGGTTGGATTACCCCAATGCAATTCTGTTGGCATTTTAAAAGCTGCATTATCTCGCCTTCAGCTGATACAGAATGCGACAGCAAGATTTCTGACTAATATGGGCGTCGGCAGCACATCACTCCCATTTTAGCAAGACTTCACTGGCTTCCTGTGCACTATCGTATACGTTTTAAATTTTTATTTTTTGTTTTTAAGGCCTTGAATGGCTTAGCACCACCTTACATATCCGAGTTACTCACTTCTTATGTGCCGGGCAGGACTCTCCGTTCAGGTGACCTACACCTCCTACAGATTCCCCGTCTACGCTGCAAAACCCGTGGTGAACGAGCTTTCTCTGTATGCACTCCTGAACTCTGGAATGATCTCCCGTTGGATATCAGACTCTGCCCCTCCATTGGGGTTTTTAAGTCTCACTTAAAGACTTATTTTTATTCCCTTGCTTTTACTGCCTAGCCATTTTATCAATGGTTTATTTACACTGTTCTTTTACTGATTTTATTGACTTCTCTTGTTTGGTTCTTTGTGCTATGCTCTAGCTGTTTTATTCTTTTATATTATTCTTTTAACCTTATATGTTATTATCCCTGTACAGCACTTTGGTCAGCTCACATGCTGTTTTTAAATGTGCTTTATCAAATACATGGAATGGCATGAAAATGGAAATGGAATGTATCTGAACACGACTCCGGCCCGAACTGAGCCGTCGCCAGCGGATGCAGAACAAGCCGTGGTGGCACTAATCAGACGTGCAGAAGTCCACCACCACTCCCCTAACCGCCCTCAGAAGAGCCACCAGGCTGTAGCTTCCTGTTTGTTCTCAGCAGAGGTTATCAGAGCAGCTCAAAGTGAAGGACACTGCGTAACATTTCAAAAGAAGCAAAAATACAAGATTAAGCTGTGTTAGATAACGCTGAAGGAAGCTGGGACGTAGGGCTTTTCTAACAACGGTTTTCTTAACTTATATTGATCGTGATAGATTAGAAGCCTTGTTAACCAGGGAACTCCGGTTGTTCAGCTCATTGAGTTCACTTCTGCTTGTTTTCTCGTCTTTTTAAAGACGTTTTAGGTCTTTGGGAACAAACTTTATATTTTTAAAACAAAACAAGGACTATACTTTCATTAATTCTATTTCTTCATTCTGCTCAACTGGATTTTTTTCGTTGCTTCTCGAATGCCAGCAAATAATGGATC